TCACGCTACTTTCATTTCTAAACTCCCAACACAGAAAATATGTGGCAGGATTCCCTCCACAAAGGCATAATTTATAGTGTCTTACGTAACGTCATAAAAAAGGTACCTTTTTAAAGTCTCTTTTCAGACCATTTCTCTTATCCGATGGCACCATCTAGTGGCGGACAAGCATATCACACAAAAAGTCTGTCGATGCGTTTTTTTAAGACAGCGACTTCACATTTCTTGTTTATAAATGTGCTTCTGTAGCCGACAGAGTTAAACACGTTGTTTTACAAGTATAGGGCTTGCGATCGTGACATCATCACCGACACGGCCGCTCCGTTGGAGGCGTGTGAGTCCTTACTTGCTGCTACTGTTAACAGTGCGCTCAGGCTCGTTCTTGCAGCTTAAATTAATCAATTACTCAGTTGATCGGTTGTATTAGACAACTCTAGTAAATTGTTGCTGTGTTGTGGGGGTGACACGTGATCGCCAGGGGCTTAAAGGTGGAAAACAGCTAACTTTTCACTATTTTCCTGCTTAGAGGCAATACCACGGAGAGCAAGTATCTAGCTAAAAGAGCAAGTCACCCCCAAATCAACTATTTTTTCTGATAAACTATATAAATGTGTGTCTAATTGTGCTGCAGACACGTGTAGTCAATAGTTTTGCACTTTAGTGCATTTTAGTTAAAATTTTAATTTTCTGCCTAAAACTGTCAGTGTTGTGCCGTTGTCAGGTAAAAACTCTGCACTGCATTTGAATTTAAATCTGCCATCGCTATTGGCTAAGAGGTACCCTAGAACGTTAGCTGGAACCATATGAGGTCACAATGTCGTTGTGAGCCTGTGTGTGTGTATTTGTTAGCGGCTCCGTCCTCTCGGTCTGCTAGGCAACAGCATTTGTTGCATTTTTCACACAGGAAGTGGGACTGGAGTAATACTCTGGTAGGGGGCGACTTGCTCTTTAAAGTCTCGTCGGTTCGCAGCTAAAAGGCAACTAAACATCTCCTTCTGCAGTATTTTCATTCTGGCAAGTTACAGATGGTGTAGGTTTTTTATACATAATTTCTTTCCTTCAACCGTGACATGCACACGAGAAACACACACACACACACACACACACACACACACACACACACAGAGAGAGACCCATAAGCTAATGTGGGTGCGTTGACCCACAACCATTTCTTTTTTTGTCCGTTTTGTATATTTAATACTTGGTCAGTATTTTTTATTAATCTTGTTATAATGTTAATAAAAGTGCACAAAATTAAGATTCAACAGCTGGTTAAATCCAGTGTTTAAAAACAGATTAGGTTCAGAAATCGTGTGCATCCACAGCGATCAGTGATAATCAAGCAGTCTGATAAAGTGCCAAACATCAAGCTAGCAGCCATGAAATCAGCAGCACATAGCGGCCATCGGCTGCCCCTGACCGCCTCACATCGGTATCGGCAATAGAAAAACCAATACCTCTACTTCTAATGTTCGTGTTGACGCCTTTTGGTGCTGATCAGTGACATCACTCACTGCCGAAACAGTCGTGGTATGCTGACGTATCAGAAAAGTCCTGAAAGGGTCGATTTTGTATGGAGACAACAGCTGAAAGGACAGAAACATCGTATTTTCCCTGATCCTCCCTCACAGAAATTCCAGAACTCCTGAAGTGGAAACACAGCTTAAAACACTAGAAAGGAGCTCTTAAATCTAACGAGATTAGTCCTGCTGTTCTCAACACATCCGGGGTTAAAAAGGAGGTGAAGGTCATGTTTATAGAGACTTACTGAATATACAAAACATAAAAATATAAACTGTTCCATCAATTCAATAGATTAGCTAAATTATGAGTAATTAGCGCTGAAATCTGGTTTATTTTAGAAAAAACAAGTTGTTGCTATCTTATTGCTGTTAAATACTGGTTCAGATGAACACGTTTGTCTTTAATCTCCTTCATCTTGGTCACAAATCTACTAAACCAGCTGAGAAGCAGATTTGCTAAATACATGATCGACATGCAGAGCATGAATCCACAGCGGGAGGGGGGGGGGCATCTAAATCATGATGATTTCAAGGAAATCTGCAAACTTGAGTAGTTATTACAAAAAAAACTGTTATGTGACTGCAGTTTAACTGTGGCAGCATTTGAGTAAAAACAAGCTTTTACATTTTTCAGTGATCTTCTCTGCATGAAGACCGTATGATAGTGGTGATGCAACCATCTGCATTAGATGCTTAATCCACAGATTTCTCGACATAAACTGATCAATAACAGACAACAATTCCTCTAAGGCCCTAATAGTGATCCTTTAAAACACACATAATGCTGATGTGTAACTGGAATCTGCAGGATATTTGACAGTTTCTAATTAAATCATGAAAATCTTAATTTATTTATGGCAGTGGTACTCACTCCTGGTCCCCGAGGGACGGTGTCCAGCATGTTTGTTTTAACTCTGCTTCAACACACCTGATTTCAATCATCAGGTGATTAGCAGGCTTCTGAAGAGCTTGATGAGCTGCTGCACAGGCGATTCTAGCACTGAGAATCGAGACAAACATGCTGGATATCGGTTCTCCAGGACCAGGAATGAGTACCACTGATTTATGGTCAGCAACATATATGGGGACCCAACAAAGGTTCAAGCTCAACCAGAAGATTCACAGCATCTGAGTGTCCTCACAGGGATGTAAAACACACACACACACACACTGAGGCAATGAGGAATCTCCATGGGTGACATAAATGTGTGTGTGCACGTGTCCGCTCTCTTTACATTCCATTTTCATCGTCCACAGTGTCCAAATAAACCGTCAACCCTGAAATGGCTGATAAAGTGTGTGACTGTGTGTGTGCGTGTGCATGTGTGTTTGTGTGAGAGACAATATTTGCCCTGTGTTATTGCTGCTCTGAGGCCACAGTTTCCTCTACAAACACACAGCTGTGAATTATTCAATAAACACACACACACACACGCACGCACGCACGCACGCACGCGCGCGCACACACACACACACACACCTTGTTTCTGGTTAAATAGATGTAACCACCGGTCATTTTCATTCTGACAGAAACTCACTAAATCAAATGAAATGCTGACACCTGCTGGTTAGTATGGGTACTGCAAAAAACTGGTGATCAGCTTGAAAAACATAAATTACGGATGTTGACTGACCACTGTGTCATTACTTTGGAAATAAAGCCGGATACTATTTTCCATGGTAAGCATAGTTTTTGGAAATTCAGTTTGAGTCTTATCAAAAATGAACACTATAACAATAAAATTAAAACTCTAATAAAGGAAATTTCAGATTCTAATGAGTTAACTACTGCTGTTAAAAAATGGGAATTTTTAAAATATAAAATTCGTCAATTCTCCGTCACATTTAGTAAAAAGGTTAAAAAGGAACGAGAAAAACGTGAATGGGAAATTGCTACGTCACTAAATCATCTATGCAATAAACTTGATAGAAACGATGATGAGACAAGAAATGTCCAATTTACAAACCCAATTGGGTTAAAAAGCTCATGAGGAGGGAGAAAAAAATTCTTCTTACTTCTGTAATTTGGAAAAAAAGACACCAAGGTAAAAAATAGCATTAATTCCCTTATTGTTGATAATATAGAAATTACAGATGAAACTCAAATCTCTACCAACATATATAAATTCTATAAAAATTTGTATAAATTCTATAAAAATTTGTATACACCCAAAATTTCCAGGGACAACTGTGAAACTTTCCTAGAGAGTATATCCTCACACATTCCCAAAATTAACGACACTTTTAAGCAAAGTTGGGAAAACCAAATTACTATGAATGAATTTGATGCTGCGGTCAAGCGGCTGTCTCCAAATAAAGCTCCTGGACTGGATGGTCTCACAGGCGACTTTTATAAATATTTTTGGGTTGAAATTAAGAATCTGTTGCTACAGGTATTCCACGAAATGTCTTACTCTTGTTTACTCCCACCAACCATGAGACATGGAGATATAGTGCAAATTCCAAAACCAGGGAAAGACCCTAGACATATTGATAATGCAACACATTCTCACTCCCAGCGCGTCTAAAACAAACGCTTGGTCAGCCCCCCTCTGCCTCAGACCCCTGACGCCAAAAGTGCCCTTTTTCGTTACACATCAGAATAGAGCTTAACACGGCATGATTTGGTCTCATTTCCTGATATTTGGACATCTCACTGCTGATTGCTTAACAGCAAAACAACTCTTACCACTGAGGTTGTTTGCTTTGCAATTTTTATCTCCACAAATAACACCAGCCTGAAGGAGTTCTGCTGTGCGGTGGAGTTGCTAATGCTAACAGTTAGCTTCTACCAGCCAAGACACTTTCTGCCTTTTCCAGGACGCTAAAGCAACAACAGACTTCCCCTCGTGAGCCAAGGTGGGCGAGTCCATGAATGTTAAGTGACAGTGTGACGTAGGTATGTCGGGCTTTTCCGATCCTAGAGTTTCACCGTCTATTTTCTATCATTAGCTAAAGCAGGAGATAGGTGTAGGAGACTATTTTCATGTTCAGCTTGCAATACAAACACAGTGACTGATTATAATCAGAAATAATCAATGTTTTAAAGCAAGTCTGCCTCCCTCTGGTGGTAAAAGTTGGCTTTACACTTAATAAAATTAAGAAAACGCATTAATTTGAGCCCAGCTTGAGTTGTTGAGAGGGAAACTATTATTCTCTGATAATTCAGACAAAAAACATGCAGTTCCATTTATGAAGGCTTTACCTACATGAGATCTGGAGGTTTCTCTGATCTTGGTGCAGCAACCTGATGGTTAAAACAAAGGTTACAAATAGGGCCAATGGGATTTAGCAAATCCTTACAGGTAGACTGCAAAAGTTACTTTGTGTAGATGTTTAAATCAAAATGTCAGAACAAGCGCTGGTGTTGCTCCTCTAGCATCTCTTTAATTAAAATGAAATGTTCAAATCCTACTTTTAACAAGTTGTTTGACACCCACCTTCACTAAAGCTGAGAGCAGAAAGAATGACTACACATTTACTGACCTGTTTGATTTATTCACGCAATTAAAATCTCCAATTTTCATACAACAAATCAGCACTTTCATCTCAGAATACAAATCTTGTAAAAACTCACACACACACACCTTAAATAGCAGCTTTTTACAGCACACTTACACATGGAAGCTTCATTCAACAGGAACAGAAATTAATGTACCACATTACGTCTCATTAAAGGAAACGTCTCCTTTGCATCGTTGAAACAACTAAAGGTGGACGTGGACACACACACACACACACACACACACACACACACACTATGGGCTGCATGACTTAATTTTTTTAAAGTCGACAGTCAATTAATGAAAATCAAGTCGACTGAATAGTCGATGACGCCACCTGAAGTGGTGGTGGTGGGGGGGGGGGTTGGTTCGCTGGAGTTTTTGACAATTAAAATTGCGCCCACATTTTCAAAGTTAAACACATTTCTTTTAACAACGGTAGTTTCTGCTTTGGCCCTCTCCCCCCTCCCCCTGCGCAGCGGCCGCAAACTCACTGATGCGCCTGCAGCCTCTCGGAGTTCCTGCTGCTTTAAACATTAAAATAATTATTTCATTTTCTGTTCCTCACTTCTGATTACCTTCAATGGTGTCTGTTTGTTGCAACCACCAGGTACAAAAACTAACTTGTTTTTGACTATTCTTCTGTCTTGTCTGTTTATTATCTTCCTGCATCTCCTCTCAATCTTAAAGAAAAACTGCTACCTGGGTTCATATATATTCACCTTATGAGTTACCTTTGAACTGCAGTTCTAAAAGATCTACCGACCGCTAAAACAGCGGAGTGCGAGGTGCTCGCCGGCCGCATCAGTGAGGTGCGTCACCGGAGGACAAAACAGGTGATACGCCCCGATCCACAGCAGCGAAACGCATCAGGCACAAATAAAAGACAGAAAACATTAAAGGAAATGAGCCGACATGAACGATCGCGTGTTTAATTAGTTTTTGAGTGGTGACACCTGATTTGATAACGTTACTGCGGCCGTGCTCAGGACGCAGATGTCTGGAGCGCGTCAACAATCAGAGCTTTGCATGCGCAAGCTGGTTAAGGTTAGGATGGGGGCGAGGGGAAGGTTAAATTGCAAGAGGGTAAAGGTCACAATTTGGTTAAATGTCCATTTTACGGCGGGTGTCGGTACCGACGCTCTGGCACAGCGCGTCACCTCCCGATGCGCAGGGGCTCGTCACCTGCTGTCTTTTCCGAGGACTGCATCTTGTCGGTCATTATCACGTGACAGCGACTAGTCGATGACAGGCATAAAAAGTCACTACAGAGCGGTGAAGTCGACTAGTTCATACAACACACACACACACACACACACACACACACACACACACACACACACACACACACACACACACACACACACACACACACACACACACACACACACACACACACACACACACACACACACACACACACACACACACACACACACACACACACACACACACACACACACACACACACACACACACACACCTCCAGATTAAACAGAACTGATATTAAACTAAAGCTCGTTAAAACAAACATTCAGGAGAGATTATTCATGAAATAACTGAAAACTCGGGCAGCTGCTCAGGTTTGAGCTCAATACTAATACGAAGCAGAACATCTGAACGTTCCACAGATCCGTCTCTGAAGGTAATGGATGATTAACTGATGGAGGTTCAGCTCTAGAGTGACAGTAATTTAAACACATCTAATCCCATGAAGAACAGCTGATGACCTCAGATTGTAATCTAACGTCTAACGTGGTTGAGCTGAAGTCCTCCTCTTTCGTACGTTTGGATCAACAGAAGTTCTTAAACAGCAGAAGCAAACATCTAAATCAAATCTAAGCAAGGTTGGGGATGTAGATGATGGTCCTAAAACATCAGAACCTGTTAGATGTTTGGGACCTTTAGGACTGAGTAACAGCAGCAGAGCCAGAGGACATCAGGACTCAAAGCTCCATCTTCTGTCCAGACAGAGACACCTGCGGCTGGATGTCCTCATCTGATGTCATCCCACCATCCAGCTTCTCCACAGGAGACTTGCCCTTCTTCTTCTTCTTCACCTTCTTCTTCCTGCTGGTCTTCTCGCTATCCGAGCTCCCGTCTCCCCCCTCCTCTCCCTTGCCTTTGCCCTTCTTTCCACCTTTTTTCTTTTTCTTCTTCTTGTCCTCTGCAATGGCTGCCTGGTCGCCCTTCTTTTTGGGGGTCCAGTCCTCAGCCAGGCAGGCTGGATGGACCAACAGGAGGAGGAGAAAGGAACAGAGTCAGCGAAAATACAAACGGCTTAAATGAAGAAGACTTTTAGGCTGAACATCAGAAACATGTAGACGAGGATCAATGAGACCCACTAAACCTAAGTCCAGAGGAGGAGAAGAGGGAACATCTAGGCTGAAGAACAGGAACAGTGCAGAGATGTGACCGTGTTGGACTCGGTCTGTGTTTTACTTTAGTTTCTGTTACATAAATACCTAAACCATGTTACACAGAACGAACGGTTGTGTTAGAACGTCCTAAAGAGATTCTTCAGCATAAACCTTCCAAACAGCCAGTTTGCTGAGCAGCTCTGCAGCAGGACCGATGAGCTCAGGGCTTTGCTGCAGGAAGGCTGGGCGACCTCTAAAGGTTTTTCAACACATATTCTTCAGCCCAAAAAATGACAATGGCCGATATATCCATGCAGGTGATGTTTAGACGGTTTGTGGGCCTGAACCACGGGCGATCCACCAATCCCAACGGTTCTTAGTCTGCTTCTGGAAACAGACGATTGGTTCTCATGCAGGAGATCGTCGTTTGTCCAAATTGCATGGGTTGTTCGATGTGTCAGTCAACATTACACCGCCCTGCAATTGGATTGATCCACACGCGTGAGAATAAGGGGCGGGGCTTCTGACAGATCAGACAATAGTTTTCCTCACTAGAGGAATTAACCCTTCACCTGATGAATCAGGTAAGATGTTGATCAGGTATGAAGCCAACACAAGGATGTTAACAGGAGGACGAGACATATCTGATGGAAGTACTGAATTTTTCAGTGGTTATATGTTGGATTATAGATGCAAGTCTTGTTGTGGTCCAACTTTTTTATTAGAAGACACCTATTGGACCCTTGTGGGTGTAAAAGGCCTGTTTGTGTTCAAAATGGCCGTTCTGTCAGTGGTGCGAGGCTTTACACAGTGTTAGACATTAATTATGACAAAAGTGTTTATTTATAAATGCTAGCTTGCTAACGACGTATAATACGTACGTAGACAGAAAAGAGTGACAGATCTGGCCAGGAAGTACGTAATGTTGCATCTAAGAGACTCGCTCAGGCATAAAAAACCACTGTTGAATGGTTGGGCCCATTACTGATGGTCCATAAACTCGTCCAGCCCCAACTGCTGCCATCTTAAAACAGCTTTAGTCTTCTCATTGGTTCCATCAATCCCTCGGTCATAAACTTGCCTGCAAGCATTACCGCCAGGCCACAGCTTCAGGAGGAAGGTCTAGATGTTTCTGCTCATTTAGCTGAGATTAGCCCATCCATCCTGTTGGACTCTCTCACCAAACACAGGCTGCTCATGAAGCCCTCCACCATGGATACAATAACAGGGTTATGGACAAGCACCTCTTGCTCTTAAACCTTCTTTGAAGATCCTGATGACATCTACATTTACTTCCTGCTGTCCCTACCTTTGTCCTTCCCTTTCAGGACGTGTTTCTCACACAGGAAGGTGGTCAGGTCCTCCTCCTGGTTCCCCTTGTACCAGTCCTCGATCACCTCCTCATACTGCTCCACCATCACGTCACACTGACAACAGCAGTTATTTAGATATACGTGATCAGATTTCCGTCCGACTCCAGCGGGATACGTACCTGCTTTTTGAGGTCGGCGACTTCTGCAGACGTCTCGTTCCAGAGCTCGTAGGGAATGTCCATCACCACCTTCACTCCTTTGTTCACCAAACCATGGAGGGTGGAGAAGGTCTCAGACATGCCCTAAACACAAACACTGGTTGTTTATTCCACAGGACGGCAGCAAAAACACTCATATTCCTTATTTTAAAAGGGACTTTTCGGACTTTTGAATATTTATGCTCGCGATTGCCCCCTCAGGCCAAAAGTGTAACGGCAGGTTCAATAGTAGGCTCGTGCACGAGGCGCGCATGCTGTACGTGCACACTCCTTAACGAAAATAACAGCTGAGACAGCCCCGTGTGTGTGTGTGTGTGTGTGTGTGTGGGGGGGGGGGGGGGGGCGGAGGACAGAGGACAGGAGAACGCGCAGCTAATTAAATAATGTGGTTCTGTACCTTTCTCTTCAGCACAGCCGACAAAGGTTTAAGATGGGTCAGTCCTCCTGCATGCTCAGATCATTCCCTTCCCTTGCTTGAAAAATTGTTCCAAAATGAAAGTTGAACCCACATCTTTTTTATCTGTGAATTTAATGCCGTTCTGCGAGTCTCAAATACAAATTTGGGCATCTTACTGTAAAAAATATATACCATTAATGTAAAAAATAAACTGAATAAATTATGTTCACATCCAGAATCGAACCCAGGTCTTCTGCATGAGAGTCAGACATCTTACAAGGTGAGTTACACTCTAGTAACATTCAAGTTTCTGTAACTTTTATATCCTTGATGACACCTGTAACAATGTCAAGCCAAAGAACAGTTCGGAGCGAAAATGGCTATTTTGTTGCTAATTTGCAGGAAATATCTAGAAGAAAGTAGCTAAGGGTCCTCAGAAATGTAGCTAGGTTCATCACTAGTCGTTAGGAACAGCGACAAAGTCACTGAGTTGGCACTACCGCTCTCTCTGCTGCTAAAGCTACGGATAGCAAATGCTACGGGCTATGCCTGAGCGTGAACGCGCATGAAGCAGCCTGCTCGACCCGAGCAACTCTCTTTTTCTGTGATTTTACAGAAAAACAGGCAATCACAGTAAAAATGCCAGGGCTCATTCTACAGGACCAGGGCATTGCAGGAGAATGTATGAAGAAGACATTTATTATTTCTATACATGTTTTAACTGTCAAACTTCCATAATGTCCCTTTAACACAGATATGTACCAGCTGCTTTTGCTGTGCTTGTCTGAGTGTGATGAATAGTTTTCCTATTAAAAGCTGCTGGCTGCTATTTACCCACCACACCGCCTGCAGAAGCTTTATGAAAGCTGTTGTAGCCAATCTACAGAACAAGCTAGGTTTTGAGTGCTAACACAATCACAGAACACTCTCGCCAGAGGCGTTCTGTTGCTAAACGCACGAGTGTGTAACGAGTGGAGGACCCAGGGAAGGGAGGTGCTTCAGCGAGAGCGACACCTGGATGGTCCAATAGTTGCTTTTGTGTTATTGGTGGAGGTTTTAGACAAATGCGAGACAACTATTTTATTTTCATTTTCAAATATATTTAAAGCTGTACGATGTTAAAATGTTGTCGAGAGGCATGTAAACATGTTTAACCTGTTTTCCACACTTTCTATTGCCGCTTTAATGTCTAATTTAGTTATTAAACACAACTAAAAACCACAGAAAGGGAAAACAAACCAAGATATTAAATTACAAATGAGCGAGGCAGTAAAAGATCTAATGAGAACCATAACAAACAAACCAGCTGAGGGTACATAAAACAGGTGAGGTAAGATGTTTTCAGTGTTTTTACTTATTTATTCTCTCGCTTTAGAAAAGAGTCTGAATGTCAACATCTAAAGCCAACCTGAACCGTAGAGGCGGCGTTTTAAACCTGCTCAGACGCACACTGACCTTAGCGAAGCGGTTGCTGCCGCTCCTCTCCTTGTGCAGGTTGTACTCCAGCAGCCTCTGACACACGTTCTCCACCACCTCGATGAACCTCAGGTCCCTGGAGACCACAGGGACAGGTTCTGTTAGAACACTAGACCGTTCTGATGTTACTCAGTAGTTTCAGATGGATTTAGATGTTTCACTGTAAAACTTGTTTCTCTTGTTTTTTCACCAGGTTTAGAGGATTTCGGCGTATTTCGTTGAATCATTTCAGAATTTTCTCACTGCAGACAAAGACAATCTTCATCTTTTTACTACGAACTAGGGTTGTCACGGTGTGAACATTTAACCTCACGGTTATTGTGACCAACATTACCACGGTTTTCGGTATTATTGCGGTATTTTTTTTAAACGTGTTACATTTTCATACAATTAAATAAACCCTGTATGTCAGGAAATATTGTCCTCAGTTTGTGTCTAAATTTTGCCTAAAATGTGTTATTTTGTAATTATGTTGTTTATTTGTTTACATTTTTCTCCTTTAGTCTTTAAAATACCAATATTTGCCCATAACTTCTTATTTTTGTATGTTTGATGTCATCATTTAAAAATATTAGATCAGATGATACTCGGTACTCAAGTAGCCTTCTAATCAGTTACTTTTTTACCCTTACTTGAGTAATAAACCCTATATCAGGAAAATATTGTCCTCGGTTTGTGTCCTTCCAGTGAGCTTTGCAGATCTGGGAAAATGTCATAAATTCATAATTATTCTCGGAGAGAGACCAACTCTTATCTGCCCCTGGGAGCCCCGTAATGCATAGCGTCATTTCAACATGGCGGTGTCCGCAACACGGTTTATATGCAGGTAGCGGCGCTGCGGCTGCTTTATATAGCGACTCGTTGCATTCTCCCTCAACCGAAATCCTCGGATCACGCATTTTAGCTAAAACGCTAACGTTAGCTTGCCTTGCGTTGACTGTAGTTGTGGGTGATGGTCACGCAGATGTGTCATGAGATTTGAAGCGTTGCTGCCTTTCACAGACATTTTTTCTGCACGTGCTGCAAACAGGATAGCCGTCTTCTATAAACTGTCCTTCGGCATTCTTCAGATAACCAAAAAGAGCCCGTACTTCCCACTTTGTCTTCTTTGAGGGATAATAAATGTCCTGAGCGCTGCCGTCTCCTCCTTTGGCCATTGTTTCAGCTTTAGCTTCAAGAAAGTTTTGGTTGTAAACAACAAAGTGCGCATGTGCCGCCGGCAACTTCAGCAGATACGGTGGCTGGTAAGGGTCAGCGCGCCTACACCGCAGCCACGGTAACCCACCAAGGTAATATAGTTTTTAAATAACAAGACGGTTATTATTATTGTCAACTATTTTACCGGGGTTTACTGCTACACCGGTTACCGTGACAACCCTAGTACGAAACCCACAGAGACTTTATACCAAATCCTGTCTTGCTGACCTGGTTACAGCCGTTATCACCATGTTCAAGGGTCAGAATTCAGAAAAAGTTGTCAGACTAAAGCAGGCATCTTTTTTTAGTTCATTCTGTCTGCAGCAGGATAAAGCCAAGTAGAATATTTCATTTTCCTTCTAGTTTTGTCAGAAGTTTCAGGTTTTTCCAGACTTTGGAGCATTTCATTGGACTTTGTCAGTCCGTCCTTCAGGTCGGTCCGTTTCCTGTGACCTCCAGCCCAAAACAAACAAACACCTGCAGAGTGAAGGCTGAAGCCGGGTTTCATTTGAACGTCTGTGTTTGAGTCTACAGCAGAGACGACGTGAGCTTAGTAAAACTCTGATGGCAATAAAAACACGTAAACTACATCAGGTCCAGATGTTTGTCAGTAAATATCATAAATGACCAGAAAACAACAAATACTAAAGATCCTAAACTAAAGAACATGATAATAAATCAGTCAGAGCCACATTTATCTACCATTATAAAACCAACTTCCTTTAACACACACACACACACACACACACACACACACACACACACACCCCTTCCTCCATTCAACAGAAGAGCCTGGTTGTGTTTCTGCTGCTTCTGTTTGACTCGGAGCTAAAATCAGAACCAGGACCATCAAATAAAAACGAGTTGAAACTCACGACTTGACGTATTTGACCGGCGGCGCCCCCTTCCCGTCGATAAAGTTGTAGTTGCTCTCGATCACCGCTTTGGTTCTTCCCGTTTCATCAAAAGCCGACTTCATCTCGATGCTGACGAACTTACAGACTTCAGACCAGGAAAGAAGAACAGAAACTTTTACCTTTCAACTGAGAATAAACTGTTTTTTATTCCAGGTACAATTATTGTCATTTTTTCTGAATGAGAAAAAAAAATTGGGAATCAATTTAAACTAAAGGAATTTATTTTCTATTCACAGAAGCCAAAAACATCAATAAACCATCGTTCATCACTAGTGAGAAGTGAGGTTTTGATATTTTTTACTTAAATCACATCATATAATTTTTACTAAAGTGTCATGGACACAATAATCATCAGAAACTGAGGTCAAATTATGATTCTTCATTTAATGAAAAGTTTACCAGCAGATGCAAACGATAAAATGAAGCAAAACATGTTTTTAAGTATACTTGTCAGAAAAAAAAACATCTTAAATAAACTGTAGGCAGAAACCTGAACTTGTGTTATTTTATTTCCCTTTTTCTTAGTTAAAACCTAATTAAAACACTTTAAGGGTGAATTTTTAAGATTTCCAGCTGTTACCCTTAGTGACGATCTCCAAACAAATGCACAGGCTCAAACCCATTCAGAAACCTACTAAATACCTCGTTGAAATTCAAGTATTTTTGAGGATTTCAAGCACCCAAAACTCTGAGTAACACTTCCCTTTCTTTAGATAAAAATCTCACATTTTTGAGAAATATGATCCACAAAACAAGACACAAATCAGGCTAATTGTTTTAAATCAAACAAAATAGCATTTGTGCTACTTTTTGTACCAGGTGTTATTTACCAGTTTATTATATTATTCAGGTTTTATAAATAGTTGATAACTACTTTATATCATACTTCCATATTAAAGGTTTTAAAATTACTATAGTTTAATTATTCACTTATACATTAGTGTTCAGAGACATGTAACAAAGTTTAAAAAAATGATCCAGAAAGTCATGTGAGGATAAATCTAAAGTTTTAGGCGATTATGTAACCCTAATGCAGCACTTAAATGTTGCTATTCTCCTCATCAGACAGAATTTAACCTGTTGTAAACATTATTTAATCGATGTAAACAATAAATAGCATCTAGAGCTGTTACAGCTGGAGACCGACAGTCGGATTATAACGAATAATGTTTATTTATTAGTGATAATTAGCTGATCTCCGTTTTTTTTTTACCTTCACATCTGTTGGGCAGATGAACCCAGTCATCGTCTCCTTCAGTCTTAGCAGCTCCGACCGACGAAAATGTCAACAAGAACAAAAAGTACGACGCTAAAATCATGTCGTCTGCTGTTTTCGGCTCCTTGTCGCAGGTTGTTTGAAATCCAAGAACGTTTCCACAAAACCCCGTTACGTTTCTGTTTTCACATTATTTCCTCTTTGGAACCGCCACACAGGTGCAAGACATCTAACTGCGTCCTTTTCCGCTTTAGACGTCACGTGCAGAGCCTTTTGGACCAATGAGAGACGAAGAAGTGGCAACAGCTTGACCAATCACGTGTAAAAGATTGTTCATAGCTTGAATACGTAAAATACGAAGTATTACTCTGTGCTTTTTTTACAGTACAAAATGAGGAAGGAAGATTTGGGGTCCTGTGTACATGACGGCCATCCGATTTTCCTTTGGAAATAATAAATTAAAAAAAAAACAAGGGAAACGTGCCGTTTTGCCGATCACCAATCAATAAACAAAAGAATGTAAAAGGAAGTCAACTCGTTTTTTGTTTTTCTATTTTCAACATAAAAAAGGAAAACGGAAAACAAACTTTTTTTTCGATATTGTATTTCAAGATGAAACCAAATAGGATGACCATATTTCATTTCCAAAAAAGAGGACAGGAGATCTGTGATTACTGATGACGTCACACTATGGCAACACCACACAAACCCCAAGGACCCTTGTTTCCCAGGTGAAGAGCTAAAACTAATATCAGATTCTGCCAACAAAGGGGCTCCAAAACAATTAATTTGTAGATATGTTGCATATTTATTGCAAAATCTAAATTTTCTGCTGCTTCAGTGCTGCAACAACATTTTATTAATAAAAAAAATTATACCTTTTGTTTTACTACAGCATTGGTAAGCTTCCTGTGCACAGATTATTAAAGCTTGGTTTTTGCTTGACGCATTTACTTTCCGCTAGGTGATGCGGCTCGCGGATGGAACGCACTTCACAACTTGCAGCGTTTATGGTTCATGCGGCTTGTCTCTGCGGTGAGCCAATATTCTCCCAAACTGTAGGGGGCAGCATGGAGCTCTACAGCATACATCCAACATTAAACCATAGTAGAAGTAGAAATTACTGTTTACAACATGGCATTCCAGCTTTTTTAACAGCGTCCTCGTCTTTTCCGACAGTGCGAGCTATTTCTCTCCAAGAATTATTAACAACATGTTGATCACGGTGATCTTTGAGAGCTGAATCATACAAATGTCTGTATTTATGAACCTCTGCCGTACTAGTTCTTGCCGGTCCGCCATGTTTTTCCGCGTCCAACCGTCTGCGTGGTTAAGAAATTTCCTAGGTACGCGGTGCGGAAATTTTGGGCCGTGCGGAGGCGCGGTGGAGGAGCGTGGTTGTTAAAATGATGCAATTTCGCAGCGCGGAGCCGTGCGTACCTCGCCGACGCGTCAAGCATAAACTAACCTTAAGGATGCTTGTTTCAGCTGGGGGGGGGGGGGGTGCTCCCATTTTGCCTTGGCCCCCAAAATGCCTCGAAACGGCCCTGGGTGTGTGACTGAGTTTTGAAGGTGATCTGAATTGTATCAAATGTATAAATATTACATGTGTATAACTTATTGTTTTATACAGGTAAAAACGTGCATTGGAGATAAATCTACACACAATTTACTTTCAAACACTTTCTTTTGTTTTCTTGATTTTATTTAACTGTTTTCCTGTCCTGTCTGTCTCTCATCTTCCTGCATCTCCTCTAAACTCTCCAGAAAAACTGCTGTCTGGATTCTTACTTTTTCATCTCATCAGTAACTTCTGAACTACGCAGATCAAAGGGATCTCCTGACCGCAAAGCGGAGTACACATTTCAATGCTGCGTCAGTGAGGTGAAATCACCGCAGCACACGATGAGCGGAGCGCGTCAGGAACGATTAAAAGACAGAGTACCAGAGGATATAAATGGACATGAACGAACATGTGTTAATAATAATGTTTTGTTGCGCCACCTTGAGAATGTACGGTGCGCTGGATGCAGCGGACGCACCAACGATCAGCGCTCTGCGTCCTCTCTGCTCAACATAATCCCGCTACGCTGAGAGTCCATAAATATTGTAATGTAGGCAGAAACTGGATCTTTCCCTGAAATATATCTTGCCCCCCATAACTCGATCCCTGCTCCTGGATGAAAAACCGGACATTTTGATCAATGTAGGAAACCCCCCAGACGCCCCGGACAGAGAGTGAAAAGAGGACATGTCCGAGGGATAGAGGACATATGGTCACCCTAAGGGAAAGTCTACTCGGGCCAGTCAGAGGGTATAAATCCCCTGCCTCTTCCTCCACCTTGGCCTCCCCGCTTCGGGCTAGCACCTTGGTGGCAGAGGGTTCCAGATTCCTGGAGGCGTTTTATTTACTTGTTTAGCTACGTGCCTGATCCACTGCATGCTGGCAATGTTCATTTCTACATTGTGTTTTCTCACCCATGTGCTGATTCTTGGGTCTAATCCATTCAGTAGAGCCTTTTAAAATTGTTGTTGGTATGCACTGTCTGCAGTTTCATAAAAGAGAATTCCAAATGTGTGCGGAATTCCTTTTCAAACCTTATTCTGAAATCATCGAGCTCTTCATCGGATTTCTGTTTTATTCCAGCTAAGTGGCTCTAATTTGCTCGTGTTCTAAACACTTCACGGACCCTGTTGCACATGGCTCTCTATTGTGCGAGATATTCCCCACCTAGGATCCCATCTTCAGAATATGGCAATACTACTGTTTGCGACTAACCTGCCAGTGCAATCTCCCCTTACTCTGGCCCAATCTTTTCCCAGACAGGATATCATAGCTTTTCCGAGCTCTTGTCCATTTAAGCGGTAAGAGTTTAGCACGCCTGTCATGTCATTAATATATTCCTCTGGGTCCTGTCGGGGGAATGTCACCACCTCAACAGCTCTTCTTGCCTCCTCCAGGTTCCAGCAGAGGAACGGGAGGAACACATAGAGGGTGGGTGGCTGGCCTGACCCCACATTGGGATTTGGGACTTATTGGCAGTTTTTCAGCAGCTAATTCTGAAATTTCATTTTGTTTCTTCAATTCAAAGATACTTTATTAATCCCAGAGGGATCTTTGTGGTTTTCTTACTTTTGTCCTGTCCCTTAAGTCATGTAGTTGTTGCAGAGGAGAGTCACTACTGGTAGCAGTTTCATAAGTTAGCAATTTGTTTAGGTTGGGGTACAACGGGGGAGGACTGGTGACACTGACACAGTGTCCCAGCATTCTCATTCTGAGCCTCTTGTTCGGGCTCAGAAGCAACACTTATGTAGTTTATCTACATAACTAGAATTAGATGCTGTGCTATTCAGCTTTGTTAGATTCTGAAAAAGATCAAACGACTTGGAAAATGAAACTTGTATCATATATAAATATATCCACGGATATTTATATAATCAATAGAAGTTCATGCACCAACTGGCTTGGTCTATATTTAATCCAAAGATTAATATTTAATGTAAAAGATTTAAATTAAAAGCAAAAGTTTTGTCAGAACCCAAGCCCCCGGACCGGCCTCTCCCAGCTAACCGGCCTCCATCTTGGACCACATTTCCCAGCATGCTCCTCGCAGGAACTCCCGGCATTCTCCCAGTCACACCCAAGCCTATATATGGAAGACGCCGCACCGGCTCTTCACTCAGTCATCGTTTCATTGAAACCCATGATCAGAGTTCTCTACCTAATAATCCAGACATCAAACATCCTTACCAAGCTCAACTCCCGTACCCAGTCGACCATCGTGACAAGTTTATTTATTAAATCAGAAGATTTAAAGAGATCTTTGCTCGTTCAATGACCAAATATACACCGATCTGTGTTTTATTTCAAAGAAGAGTCAGGTTTAAAAATTTAAGAATTTATTACTAACAATTTAAAGATGAGAATTTCAAAGACAATTTATTAAAGCGTTGGTATTAAAACTTGGTATTGAAGCAACCTGTGTCTGGATGGAACTAAAATGAAACGTGTGTGTTTGGATGTGTGAATGTGTCTCAGAAGCTTTCTATCAGAGAGAGAAAACGCATTCTGGGTGAAAGAGTTTGTTGTGCAGCTGAGCTAAATTATTTCTTTAAAAAACAGGCATACGGACGCAATCTGTCGGAAGTGTCTACCTCACTCAGTTAGGAGACCCCCTTCTTGGATCCGAGATGTCCGGAGGAGATGATGACCTCCGGACACGAGGTGGGTAGAAGAACCGTAGTACGACCAAATCGGTCCTGAGATGTCTCCGGATCACAACGACTGATGAAACTGGTTGCGTCTTAAAAATCAATAACTCTGAAGGAGTTTTGCGTCAGCTGGTGCAAATGGCGTTTTGTTGGAGCAATTCTATCAGCGTGACAGAACGGCCTAGCGGAGGCTTCGGGCGGCCGACCCGATCCTCTGGGACTCTCGTCGCCACGGAGAGATTTTGGTGAGCTCAAGAACTGAACTTGAACTGAGGAGTTTAGGTTTTAACAAACCTCAGAACACGCCCTCTCAGAGATAGAAAGCTTTGGTGTTATGGAACAAAGACATGTGAATGTAGTCACCTTTAACCGGATTTCAGTGTCCTGCATGGTGTGTATAAGTGCACATGACCTTCTGTTACTCATCAACATTACTGATTATCATAAATAATTATCATTAGCCAAAGAATAATAATTCATTTGAGTAATTAAATACATTTATAATGAACCTTGATGAGTATTTATGAACCTTGTAATAAGACAGTGAAGAGTTTATTAAAAATGATTCTTTTAAATCTTGAAGTGTCCTTCATCTTGCGGATGGAACAGCAGACAGATAAAAGGCAGTCAGATTAAAGATGGTTTACAGCCGACTTTGTGTCTCCTGTGATGGATAATCTGTAGATAGAAGTACAGCCAGGACAGCTCGACCCAGCTGAGGAAGAGTGACCTTTGGGTCACAAATGAGGCCATTCATGTCGCTACACTTGCCGCCTTCCTACAACCGTCTCATTGTCTTCCGGCCTCAAACATAGCTTTTGCCTCCTGTTTTTCCTTTTTCGCAACTTTACTTTTTATCATACTGTCTCGTCTGGCTTGGGACTATTTTAACCACAACTTAGCAAATTCTAACTCCTTTTCCTTCTCTTCTTTCTTTTTTTCTGTTGTAGAAACCATGCTCGTCTCTAGTTCTCCCACTACATAAGTCCATTTGTTTACATTCAGCTTCCCGTCTATCTCATGCTTTCTTTTCCACTTATCCATGTATTTTAGATAGTCTGGATGTTTTTGTAACATGAATTTTTCATCCCCTTGTGGGTCTGTGTTTTCACTGACTTTTTCCCATGATTAATTTACAATGGTTCATTAAAGGTTTTAAAAGTTATTATTCAGGTTATTACCTTCGACTACATGTTTCAGGTAACACTTCTGAAAGTCACTCACACATACACACTGCTTTTCCGTTGCAACACCAAGGGTCTCTCAGCTCTACGAATCCATTCAGCGGAGAAGACCTTTAACGTTCCATGCGGTTTACACCAAACTCCCAGCAGGTATTCTGTAATGTTACAATCTCACTGAAGCCATACTAATAAAATAATGTGGATTTACAGCGATTTTATAATCATTTGCTTGAGCGAATCAGCGTTAGTGTCAGCGCTGCTAGACAGAAACAATATTCACAAATGATTTAAGGTATTGGGGAAATATCACACAGTTACATTGGTTAGCCTGAATGACAAAAGAAAACTAACCACATTTCTGGGAATTTCCGAGAGAAAACCTCAAAAGGGACTCAAAACCTGGCTGGACTTTTAGAGGGATTTGAACACATAGTGGCAATATCTTGCTGACATCACATGAGTGCTAGAATTTTAATTGAATATTAATTGAGTCAATTTTTTTTCTTTTTTCTGTGGCCTGTATGGTTTGATTTGACTAATAGTTTTTTTTTCTCTGATGATTTTCTGATAAAGGTCAGGTTTATGAGAATGCATTATTGTAATCTAATCATCATGGGATCCTTAAATAAGCTGTTTCAGCTTCTTTGAGTCCCTTTCACAGATCTCATTTATGTAGTAGAGTGATATTGTGTATATTGTGTATAGGAATGTTGTGAAAATGGTCTGTGAACAAAGAATAAAAGAAAGAACACGGAATTATTCTCCAGCAGGTGGCGGTAGTGCGCCTTTACGCTGGTTACCAACCACCGGAAAAAACAGAAACCGGAAGCTGCTAGCATATCTAGCTTGTTGTTCTGGTGTGTGAGGTGGGTATTTAAGGCTCTGCAGTAAAAATGTCTTCACTTGAGTCTCTGGGAGAGTTGAGCAGCCAAAGAGACTAACTTTAAACTTTCTTCTCCTCAACAACTTGGTTCTTTCCAGAACCAGAGAAGACATTCTGCAGTCTCCGTTGCAACCCGAGCTCCAAAATAGGTGAGCGGTCATGAAAGCTTTTTTCTAGACTTGGTCATGATGCAGGATCACTGCTCGCTCTCTGATCCATCCCGCTCACACTCAAACGGAAAAGCCCCGAATCTGAATGTGACTCGGGAGGAAAAGACGGTTAGCTCTACTCCCGTGAACTCAGGTGACCAAAGGTCCTCTTGAAATCTGGATCAGTCGTCAGCTAATCAGAACCAAACCGTTAGATTTTCTTCATCTGTGTTCTTCTGAAGCATCATCTTAATCAGCTCCCCTGCTTTGTTTTTACTGCAGCTGTTAGCTAAACACGGCTAAATAAAACCTGCTACCATTTCTGGGATTTATCGTGATGTTCATCATCTGGATCTGGACAGCATGGATACAGGTACGTGTGTGTGTGTGTGTGTGTGTGTGTGTGTGTGTGTGTGTGTGTGTGTGTGTGTGTGTGTGTGTGTGTGTGTGTGTGTGTGAGAGAGAGAGAGAGAAATAAATTGGTTTCTGTCAATATCTCAGCTTATTTATTCAACATGTCATCTCATCAGAACTTCCACAAGTCATTTCCACTTGGACTCCACTTCCTGCTTTGCTCTCTGCTTGCTCACATTTTATTACTGGGATTGTTGTTTTTCCGCTCTGACAACCAGACTCTTATAAACCACTGAGGCCCTCTCTAGTAGACATAGGCGCCTACAACAGTGACCGACAGTTTGTTACTTTTGTTTCCACCAAGTTTGTGGATGAGAAGAAAACCAAGACAAGTTAAAGATTAAAGCAGTTTTATTATCAGATTAAAAGTATGTCTAAATTGTCCTTAGGTGTGAGTGTGTGCGTTCATAATTGTTTGTCCTGTGTGTCGCTGTCTTGCCCTGCGATGGACTGGCACTTTGTCCAGGGTGTACCCCGCCTGATTGCCCATTGACCACTGGAGATAGCCCCCCCGCCCCCCCAACGACCCTACTTGGACAAGAGGGTTCAGAAAATGGATGGATGGATATCAAAAGTATTAAATGAATAATATTCCCACAGGTGTACCTGGAGACCTCATAGCAGAAACAAACAACTTGTGTGTCCCAGAGAGTCTGAAGAGACACATCATTAGCTTCTAGTTTGAAGTGTGATCAGCCATGTGCCATCTAATAATAAAGACAAGATGATATCTTATCAAACTACTTTTTACTAACTTGGTAGCCTGTTAATACAAATGCTACAGTCAAATGGAGGCAGGCACCTAAAAGGCTCTTGTTCACAGTCAGGTAAGTTAGCATTTTGACAAGTTCTGGAGAAAGGATTGGTCCCTTTAGAGAGCAGACCTTCCCAGCTGCAGAGAAGATCCGTTCCAATGGGGTGGCAGGTGTAGCATTTAAATTGTCCAAAAAAGTTATTTGTCCACACCAATGTCCGAGGTCAACAGACCATTGAGTGAATAGCAGTTCTTCTGCCAGGACTGTTGTGTGCTCCTCCATACAGAACAGTCCTGTTCATCTTCCCTCACCGTGGCACTGGGAAGAGTAATCCTTTACATTCCTCTTCTGGGGTGCACTGACAGAGGCGAGGCTGCTGAACACTGGCGCCACCGGTCCCTCCGACCACCACTCATCAACAGTGGCGGTTCTACATGGAATTACTCCCCGGGCGAGGCCCCCTTTGAGCGCCCCCCCACCACACCACCCCACCTGCACGAACACACATGTTTTCTACAAACAGGCATGTTTTATTAGAACGAGTATTGAACATTCATTTTTCTAAGTTGCACATATTTACATTAATTACTATGAAGTTGTCAGAATGTAAAGCAATATACATTATATACTGTATCAAAAATATATAGAATCAAATATACAAAAACAACTAAACTAACTAAATATTAAGAATATATGAACATAATATATAATAAATATTCTAAATAGCAAAAAAATTTCACACATAACAAACTAAAGATAATCACTACAGCACTGCATTTAGAACAGAAAACACAAACTAAAATTAAAACCTAACCTTGATGCAAAGTCATCAATAATGTCATCATATGAAATCTGCTCCCCTACTGAGTGATTGATACTAATCAGAGCCAGGTTAGTGAGCCGCCCCTGAAACATAGTTGACCTCAGGTATGACTTGATCAAGTTTTGAAAAGCTCCTCTCAGCTTGAGCCACAGTGACTGGCAGAGCAGTCCAAAAGTTGGGGTAGATCTCCAATAGATCTTTATCATGATCCATAATATTTTAGAATTGCCTCTGAAATTGTAATTTAAACTGACAGAAAAAAAACTGTAGACTAACAAAAATGCCAACTTTTACAGAACAAATCATGTAAAAAATAATCAGTGCAGCCATCTGCAATAAATAAACAGGATAGTTAGTGGTGACTGGGGAGTTTTCTTCTGCTTGTAGAGTTGTTTTATTTATTATTATGTGAACATGATCAACATGTGTTTGTTGTTGTTCAGGCAGGCCACAGGCTGCAGCGAGCATTTAACAAATCCTAGTTTGAATCAGTAAAAAACGATTCAAGGAATTTTTTCGAACCATTTGAATATTCGTTTCAATATTTCAGCTCTATTAGCTCTGTTAGCAATTAGTTGACCGCATTTAACCGTTAAAATCCCAGTTAACTGGTTCAAAAAATTGAAAACATGCATCATGAGAGCGAACATACCTTTATCTTTCTCCTCTTTTTTTTTCCTGAATGGGGCACCTGGTGGTTTTAGCCTTTTTATGTTCATCTCTTCTGTTTGGCTCTTGACTCAATAAGTTTCCTTTAGTCAGGACTAAACAATTTGACCTTGATGGGGGGGTGACCACAAAATCGTTTTGTTTTTCCTTTTTTTATTCGGCCATTTCACACAATTCAGAAACACCTGAAAGAATGATAGGCCTGTGTTTATGATATTATGAATGAAATGTGGAAGAACATCAAGATGTGATTGACTTTAGCCATGTTAATACAGTTGATTCAGCCCCTACCCGCTCATTTCATTTGGACCCACCCAGAGGTGAATTCCCCCGCTGCACCCCTCCCCTTCCTCTTCTTCATACACACACGGTGCACGGAGCGCCGGCAGCTGCAGGGGGCGCCAACTTGCTGTTTCCAATCCAGACACTGTCATATGACAGATAATAGAAAACCCTCGGTGCGGCGCAGGTTTCTTTATTTATTTATTTTTTACTCAGCGCCTGTGTGCCCCTTTTGTGTCATGAAAAAATGCCGCCCCGGGCAACTGCCCTGTCTGCCCGTGCCTAAAACCGCTACAGCTCATCAAGCAAGACGCATCATGAGTTTAGCTTAATATGATAGAAATTCATGATGCAATTGTATCTACTGAAGATTATACTCACAAGAGTCGTGCACAGAGGATTTATTAGGGTGAACATGGCTGGAATCTTATCAGTTGTGACACATATCAGCGATCATAATGTAATGACTCAGACTCTCTGGTTGCTCTTTTATGGGCATGATTTTCAAACTACTGTCGGCTGTGACCCGCGGCTTACAGACTCTAACCCTAACCCTTTTTTTAACAGAATTGCTCGTAATGGAGCGTTTTCTAGCATAAAAAGGCAGAAAAAACTGAACCGGAACAAACTCTCCTGCCCGCTGAACTCACCTTCAGAATAAAATGTTAAACCTAACGTTAACTATTCCAACTGTTACAAAACTTTTGAGGCAATTTCTGCTCCGGCTCTACCGGGAATGTACACGGGAAAGGGGTTTGGCCCATCTCTCTGCTCTGCTCTCAGGATAAACAAAACTCTTTTGGCAGCCACTGTGAAAAGGCTCGCTGAAACATGAGCGAACGTCCCCAAATAATTAAAAACCAGGAAGCCAAAAGCAAATTTTAAGGCAGAACATTGACCCAGAAATTTTCTGATTGAGCAGACTTGTGAGAATACTTGTAATGACCGTTTAGAGACGGAGCAAGCTAGTCGCTAGCGGCTTGACTAGTTATATAATCTTGTTCGAAATGAAATTGATATTTTATATTGTCCAGCCCTACTAGCGCTAAAGAGTTAGTAGCCTCTTTGACAAATATCAAGATCTTGCAATATTGTGAGATGTTACACCTCTTGTGTGAGTATGAAGTTCCATCAGTTGGTAATTCACGTCATGCATTTTTGTGTTTTTTACAGATATTCAGCAGGTGGTGCTAGTTAAAAAAGAAGCTTCTGAAGAACAGAGTGCTGGTGTGGACCAACGGGACCAAGAACACCTCCACATAAAGGAGGAACAAGAGGAACTCTGGACCAGTCTGGAGGAAGATCGTTTCCATTTGAAGGACGAGAATAATGCTGCCTGGTTTTCATTCACTACTGTTTCTATAAAGAGTGAAGATGATGAAGATAAACCTATGTTCACACAGCTTCTTCAGCAGCAAATAGAAGACAGAGATGGTCCAACCAGCAACTCAGCTGACCAGATGACAGCAGAAACTGGTGGAGGAGCAGAAGCTAGCAGGAACCGTGATCTGAACCCTCATGACCAGTCATCCAATTCTTCAGAGACTGAAGTTAGTGGAGATGATGGAGATGTTGATGATTTGAATTTAAACACTGAGCTGTCAGACTCGGGGCCTGAAACTGGGGACAGAGACAATGACTGGAGTGAGAACAGGTCTTCTGAGTCAGATCTTAAGCCTGTCAACAAATCCTTTAGCTGCCCTGAGTGTGGTGAACAATTTCTCCACAAGTGGTCTCTCCAGAAACACGTGACAAGTCATTCAACAGCAAGGTCTTCAGGTTGTGTGGTTAATAAGAAATGTATCATAATAAAGCAACATATAGACAAGTGCAGGAAAGTCCAGACAAAACCAAAATCATTTAGTTGTGACGATTGTGGAAAAAGATTTGGGACAAAGTCAATTTTAAACAGACACATGAGTGTCCACACAGGACAGAAACCTTTTGCCTGTGAGCTCTGTGGAAGAAGATTTAGCCGAAAGACACATTTAAACCGACACATGCAAGTCCACGCAGGCCAGAAGCCTTTGGCCTGTGAATTGTGTGGACAAGAATTTAAAGAAAAGACAGATTTAAATGAACACATGAGAGTCCACACAGGCCAGAAACCTTTTGCCTGTGAGCTCTGTGGACAACTATTTAATTCAAAGGCATCTTTAAACCGACATATAAGAGTCCACACAGGACAGAAGCCTTTTGCCTGTGAGCTCTGTGGACATCTATTTAATTCAAAGGCATATTTAAACCGACATATAAGAGTCCACACAGGACAGAAGCCTTTTGCTTGTGAACTCTGTGAACACAAATTTAGACAAAAGGCAAATTTAAACGCTCACATGCGAGTCCACACAGGACAAAGGCCTTTTGTTTGTGAACTCTGTGGACAAAAATTTAGACAAAAGACAAATTTAAATGAACATATGCGAGTCCACACAGGACAGAAACCATTTGGCTGTGAGCTCTGTGAACAAAGATTTAATTCAAAGCCAAATTTAAACCGACACATGAGAGTCCACACAGGACAAAAACCTTTTGCTTGTGAGCTCTGTGGACAAAGGTTTAGCCAAAAGACAAATTTAAACACTCACATGGGAGTCCACACAGGACAAAGGCCTTTTACTTGTGAGCTCTGTGGACAAAAATTTAGCCATAGTTCTAGCCTAAACAGTCACATGAGAGTCCATACAGGACAGAAACCATTTGCCTGCGAACTCTGTGGACAAAGATTTAGCTATAAGAGAGGTTTAAATAGTCATTTGAGAGTCCACACAGGAAACAAGCCTTTAGCCTTGGAACTTTGTTGAAGCATATTTAAACAGATAAATGAGGGTCCACAGGTGGACGCAAATAACATATTTAACTGCCAAGTTTACCGAAAAAGGGACCATTGTAGTTTATACATCCCATAATTCATAGCTACACTACATATACCAAACCAGGGGTTGGCTACCCACGGCTCTTTCATCTATCTGATACAGCCCTCTGTGCTTGTCAAAGAATGAATTAATGTTTAATTAAAATGTATTTTATTTGACTGCATTCATTTTTTTCTGTATGCCAATTCTTAATGTACTGGAAACTGAATGAAACAAATAACTAAAGCGAAACAGCGGCGCCTCCGGCCGGACCACAGACCGATCGATCCTCCTGCTAGTAACGCCCGAGCAGAAGAGAACTCCCTGCCCAGAAGCAACGAGGATTCAATAGGCAAGCGATGACGTCACACCCAACACTGACCCAAACGCCCAAGCACGTTTGGAGCAGGGCCGATCGCACCAGAAACGCAGCCTGAGGACACGGGCTGGCAACAACAAAACGCAGCGGTATAATGAGACCAGCTGTTTCCCGAGCCTACTTCCTCACCGGAGGAGCTCCCCTTTTATAGTAGCAGCGCCCTCCTACGTACGGAGGGCGTACTGTTCTAGACCAATAAAATTGGAGCAGGCATTTCGTACTGCTACACTAATAAAATAATGTGGATTTACTGCAATTTTATAATCATTTGCTTGAGCGAATCAGAGTTAGTGTCAGCGCTGCTAGACAGAAACAATATTCACGAATGATTTAAGGGATTGGGGAGATATCACACCGTTACATAGACTTATATTTGTCAGCCTGAACGACAAAAGAAAACCAACCACATTTCTGGGAATTTCTGAGAAAACCTCAAATTGGACTCAGCTGGGCTTTAAGAGGTACTCCAACCCTGTTGGGACTCGAACCCCACAATATCCTTCACAAAATGTCTATGGGTCTTTAACCCAACACAGAAAGCAATAAATGGGACTCGAACCCAAAAACAAACTTTCTACTCACTCGCTCTGGAGATTTTTGGTATAAATGTATCCCATCAATCCGTCGTTGACTGAAGGAGTTGACCTAAAGCGCCGGCCTGGCAAGGAATGCCACCTCCCGAGACTTTTATTATACGTTCAGGCACTCACAGAGCACAGAGGCTTCTGCTTTTGCTCCCTTATCTTTTTTCCCAAGGCTCTTTTTGTCCTGTCTGCCTACAGAGCGCTTCTCTGCATTTCTTCTGGAAATCCCTATTTTTCAGAAATGGATTTAATTAATTGGTCACTCAACGCGATTGATATTTTTTTCTACGATGAGAACGGAGGAGGGGGCTCCCACTTGCCCGCAAGGGACACACGCAGCGGGATATATGCTTGATTCCTGGAAGGAGTGGAAGATTGTATGTCTCTCTCAGCTGTCCATTGAGGACGTCGAAGATATGTGGATATTTGGCCTGATGATCACTGGATTTCTTCTGATTGGAGTGGGAGGATATCTGGTTTTCTGGAAATTTGGGAAGACGGGAGCGATTGGAGGGCGACCCGCACCCACGGGAAGCACCGCCAGGGTGGAGACCTCACAGACTGGGACGTTACTCGAGGTGAATCGTAAACTGGACAATGTTTTAGCTGCGTTACCGGTGTTAGTGCGCAAAGTGGATGTCATCTCGGAGAGGGTCACCGGACGGTATGGACAAGTGTAATAGCCAAAATTGGCTTCACTGAAGGACTGGAATGACCAGTTACAGACTGAAGGCAGAGAGGAAAATGATCTCTGCCTGACCCAAACACAGTCTTGTTATCCAAATCTGACGCCACGGCAGCCTTGAGCTGCTAACAACAACCCCCACGAAGGAAGGAATGCAGACAGATGCTGTGAAAACCCGTCCTACCCCCCCGCCTTCAGAGTGTGGACTTCTGCCTAGCGAGGTCATCAATCTGCAGGAACTCAAATGTGCTCTGCGCTCCTCCAAATCTCCCTCCCTCCTGTGGAAACAGCTGGCTGAGCGCCACACAGAGCTGCTCCCGCTGGGGAATCAGGATCCCAGCCCCCCCCCCTTCCCCGCCTCCCTATCGGAGTCTCATGTTGTGAACTGTGATGTTCGTGCTTATATGTTTGAGGCGTTTTTTATTTTTTTGCATAGTAAAGCTACACCCTGCCGGGAGTAACTCTGGTATGCCTTTTTTCCCTCCCCCAATTTATCCTCATGTAATTCCCTTTTCATTTTTTAAGGTAGCGCGACTCAAGTTGCGAAGGACCACAGTCACCAATTCTTGTCATGTGTCTTGCCCATGTATGTCTGATCTCTGAATTGTGTGTACTGAAACTCAATTTCATTTCTCTGTATGTCTTGCACATGTGGTAGAATTGACAATAAACTGACTTTGACTTTACTTCAGAAGTCCTATTGACTCTGGCCGTGCACGGGCTTCGGCATGTCTTCCTCCTTCCATCAGCGATCGGGTATGTTGGGATCCCGAACGAGCCCCCAAGTTGTTAGGGTTTTGCCTTTCTAACGTAACGATCTTGCAGAAACGAGTATTGTCTGTTTTAGCTTTGCAGGAGTAAAAGAGCAATGGAGAAGTTAAACAGGATACAGTCGTGACTCCACCTCACTGCTCAACTCCAAAGTTCTCCCCCGCGTGGCTCGTTTTTATTAGGCACAGGAACACATGGGAGGGGTTACACATTACAATGATGTGGTGTGGTAAGATTGCGTTCAATCAGCTGCAACATGACTTGGAACTGAAACATAATGTTCCAGACACAAAGCTGTGGGTGAATGTGTGTGAATCGTCAGAATGAGGAACAAACATGTACATACATGGTCACACATATGAAATAAATGGTATTCAAAAACTCCAACATAAAAACTCTGATAAAGTCCTTACATGTGAAGGGATTTCCTCTGTATCTTTCTGGTTGTGGTTTCTGGCTGGGAATAATCAACTAGATAAACTGCTGAGTCCATGCTGGTCAGTACAACCTAGAGGACTAAAGCTGAACAAACAAAACAATAAGATGCAGAAACATAAGACACTAGAACTAAACACTGAAAGAATACACTAAATAGGGAAAAGCTAAATAATGATGATTAAAGACACAGGTAAAACATGGAGCTGGATTATGGCAAACAGAACACAATGAACAGAAAAAATAATTATAACTGAACTAGAAGGATGAACAAGAAATGACTTGGAGAATACATGAACTAAATAGAAATCTGACATGGGGGAAAACAATGAAGGGTGGAAGAGTGGCTAAAAGTAACTGTGGCTGGGGATGATATGGCTGAATTTATCTAAGGGGACAGGAAGCACATCTAAGAGAACAAAGGGGTCAAGGGTAAGAGACATATGAACATATGATGAGGACTAAAATGAATGCTGGGGAGACAAGGGAGAAGGGGTATGGCAGAGCCAGGGAGGACATGGACAGGACATGATAGAAAGTAGCTCATGGCTGAATCTAGAGCATCTACACACAAAGTAATTACTAAGTGTTCATTAATGTGGATTGTCCTCTTTAAAGAGGTAGTCACCCACTACCAGAGTATTACTCTGCTCCCACTTCCTGTTTGAAAAATGCAACAAACGCTGTTACCTAGCAGACCGAGAGGGCGTAGCCGCTAACAAACACACACACAGACTCACAACGACATTGTGACATCATATGGTACGAGCTAACGTTATAGGGTACTTCTTAGCCAATAGCGATGGCAGATTTAAATTCAAATGCAGCGCAGAGTTTTTACCTGACAAAGGCACAACACCGACAGTTTTAGGCAGAAAATTCTAATTTTAACTAAAATGCACTAAAGTGCAAAACTGTTGACTACAGGTATCTGCAGCACGATTAGACACACATTTATATAGATGACAATAAACTCAAATTAAATTTGGCAAAAACAAAGTTAATTATTTTTGGAAATAAAGACAATGATCTAAATGCTAAAATTAAGGATAAATAATATTGAAAGGGTAACAACAATCAAGTTTCTTGGAGTGATAATAGACGATAAATAAAGGTTATCAATACGTCTTCTCTGTTAACCATATATTTTTCTTTTATTGTCCCTTACTTAATATATGGCGAAGAAGTATGGGGCAATACATACAAAACCAATTTAGAATCTCTGTGTACTGTACAAAAAAAGCAATACGAATAGTGGCTGATGCAGAATATAGACAACATATTCATTCACTGTTTCTTAAATTAAAAATTCTCAAGTTTAAAGATCTTGTTAACTATAGAATAGCACAACTTATGTTTAAAATACTTAACCAGGAAGCCCCTTGCCGTGTCCAGAAGTTGTTTCCACTAAGGGATGGAAATTATCCTTTACATGGAACATTTATTTATAAGACACCCAGAGGAGTACAAACATGGAATAATTGGAGTGAAGCAATCAAGAAATGTAAAACAATTAGTCAATTTAAAACTCTCTTGAAGATGGAAATGTTAAATACATATGGTATGAACACATAGTGGCAATATCTTGCTGACATCACATGAGTGCTAGAATTTTAATTGAATATTAATTGACTCCATTTTTTTTTCTTTTTTCTGTGGCCTGTATGGTTTGATTTGACTAATTGTTTTCTTTTCTTTTTTGTTTTTCTCTGATGATTTTCTGATAAAAGTCAGGTTTATGAGAATGCATTATTGTAATCTAATCATCATGGGATCCTTAAATAAGCTGTTTCAGCTTTTTGGAGTCCCTTTCACAGATCTCATTTATGTAGTAGAGTGATATTGTGTATATTGTGTATAGGAATGTTGTCAGGGCCGGCTTTGCTGACAGGCGACACAGGCGGCCGCCTGGGGCGCCATCTGATGGATAGGGCGCAAAAAAAAAACTAAGTTTATTAAATTTATGTTTGTAATATGAAATGCACTCTCTACATACTCGAAATTCCCCTCTGAAATGACATGAAATTAAAACATCAATATTTAAATTCTAATGATCTGGCTGCATGACGAGCTCCCGCTTGGACCACCGCTCCGATGCATTTGACCGTTAAGGGTGCCGTACATCATGTGCGTGGGTAGCACAGAAGGACATCCTGTTGTTGTCGCGTTTAAATTTTTGGTATTTTACGATGAAAAGAACACCTAAGCCATCGGGATCAGCATTCCGAAAGCGAAGGAAGGAGGAAGAAAAAAAAAACGGGCCCAAAGCAGAGGTATGTAGACTTTATAAATTTGGCAAAGGAACTTTTTGCGTTACAATTTTTAGCTAACTGCCTCTCCTGCCACGCACGGTCCACGGACGGACCCTTGCTAGCTGTTTACATACACAATACAGTATCTCATAACTTCAACCAATTATTTTTACTTTTGAATCGTCGTGTCCAGATGCATTGAGACAATATCTGCAGCCATACAGGCACCTGTTGACACCACGGGGGGTGGGACTGTCTTCTACACCTGTTGAGTCTCACTGTGAAGATGAAGAATGTAAGATGTTTTTCATAGAACAGATTAAAAAAAGATCAATAAAAGAAAAAGTCCAGTAACATTAAAAATAATGAAAAGCATCACTGCACATGACTGAAAAATATTGAATGTGAAAGTGGCACTGTTCTTGAGTAATTCATTCATCAGAGGGTTAGGTTGCGTTGTGTGTGTGTGTGTGTGTGTGTGTGTGTGTGTGTGTGTGTGTGTGTTTATTTATTTATTTACTCACAGAAGATGAACCCAACACCAGCAGACTTAGTGCTCCAATCCAACAGCCTGAAGAGACATCCTCATCAGCTTCAACAGATGTCTGTGAACATGTATGAGCTGCTGAACCCATGGATCCTGCTGACTGGCCACCAGTCGAACAAAATGGAAAGTAGAACTTTCTTTATGATGACACTGATATTTGAGTTTTGCTTTTGATTGCACAGTTTAATGCTGCTTTTGATTTTGCATACCCCCAATGACATTTGCACAACATTTTGAGTTGTTGGTTATTGTAATATTCTCAGGTTACTTATCTTTCAAGCTTACATTTATTCTTCAGGCTGTTGACTTCAAAGAGTTACTGTGTGAATATTTAAAATAAAAAATTAGTAACTGAAGAATAACTGTGGAGTTGCTCTTTCCAATGTGTGGTGGGTGGGTGGGTTTTGGGTGAGAGGCATGCAGGCACGGGGGGAGGGGGGGCGCACATGGGCAGTCTCGCCTTGGGCACCAAATTACCTAGAGCCGGCCCTGAATGTTGTGAAAATGGTCTGTGAACAAAGAGTAAAAGAGAGAACACAGAATTGTGCTCCAGCAGGTGGCGGTAGTGCACCTTTACGCTGGTTACCAACCACCGGAAAAAGCAGAAACCGGAAGCTGCTTGCATATCTAGCTTGTTGTTGTTCTGGTGTGTGAGGTGGGTATTTAAGGCTCTGCAGTAAAAGTGTCTTCACTTGAGTCTCTGGGAGAGTTGAGCAGCTAAAGAGACTAACTTTAAACTTTCTTCTCCTCAACAACTTGGTTCTTTCCAGAACCAGAGAAGACATTCTGCAGTCTCTGTTGCAACCCGAGCTCCAAAATAGGTGAGCGGTCATGAAAGCTTTTTTCTAGACTTGGTCATGATGCAGGATCACTGCTCGCTCTCTGATCCATCCCGCTCACACTCAAACGGAAAAGCCCCGAATCTGAATGTGACTCGGGAGGAAAAGGCGGTTAGCTCTACTCCCGTGAACTCAGGTGACCAAAGGTCCTCTTGAAATCTGGATCAGTCGTCAGCTAATCAGAACCAAACCGTTAGATTTTCATCTCCTGTGTTCTTCTGAAGCATCATCTTAATCAGCTCCCCTGCTTTGTTTTTACTGCAGCTGTTAGCTAAACACGGCTAAATAAAACCTGCTACCATTTCTGGGATTTATCGTGATGTTCATCATCTGGACAGCATGGATACAGGTATGTGTGTGTGTGTGTGTGTGTGTGTGTGTGTGTGTGTGTGTGTGTGTGTGTGTGTGTGTGTGTGTGTGAGAGAGAGAGAGATAAATTGGTTTCCGTTAATATCTCAGCTTATTTATTCAACATGTCATCTCATCAAACCATCAAAACTTCCACAAGTCATTTCCACTTGGACTCCACTTCCTGCTTTGCTCTCTGCTTGCTCACATTTTATTACTGGGATTGTTGTTTTTCCGCTCTGACAACCAGACTCTTATAAACCACTGAGGACTTCTCTAGTAGACATAGGCGCCTACAACAGTGACCGACAGTTTGTTACTTTTGATTCCACCAAGTTTGTGGATGAGAAGAAAACCAAGACAAGTTAAAGATTAAAGCAGTTTTATTTATTATCAGATTAAAAGTATGTCTAAATTGTCCTTAGGTGTGAGTGTGTGCGTTCATAATTGTTTGTCCTTGTTTCTTTTTCGAAATGAAATTGATATTTTAAAACTATTGATATATTGCCCAGCCCTACTAGCGCTAAAGAGTTAGTAGCCTCTTTGACAAATATCAAGATCTTGCAATATTGTGAGATGTTACACCTCTTGTGTGAGTATAAAGTTCCATCCGTTGGTAATTCACATCATGCGTTTTTGTGTTTTTTACAGAAATTCAGCAGGTGGTGCTAGTTAAAAAAGAAGCTTCTGAAGAACAGAGTGCTGGTGTGGACCAACGGGACCAAGAACACCTCCACATAAAGGAGGAACAAGAGGAACTCTGGACCAGTCTGGAGGAAGATCGTTTCCATTTGAAGGACGAGAATAATGCTGCCTGGTTTTCATTCACTGCTGTTTCTATAAAGAGTGAAGATGATGAAGATAAACCTATGTTCACACAGCTTCTTCAGCAGCAAATAGAAGACAGAGATGGTCCAACCAGCAACTCAGCTGACCAGATGACAGCAGAAACTGGTGGAGGAGCAGAAGCTAGCAGGAACCGTGATCTGAACCCTCATGACCAGTCATCCAATTCTTCAGAGACTGAAGTTAGTGGAGATGATGGAGATGTTGATGATTTGAATTTAGACACTGAGCTGTCAGACTCGGGGCCTGAAACTGGGGACAGAGACAATGACTGGAGTGAGAACAGGTCTTCTGAGTCAGATCTTAAGCCTGTCAACAAATCCTTTAGCTGCCCTGAGTGTGGTGAACAATTTCTCCACAAGTGGTCTCTCCAGAAACACGTGACAAGTCATTCAACAGTAAGGTCTTCAGGTTGCGTGGTTAATAAGAAATGTATCAGAATAAAGCAACATATAGACAAGTGCAGGAAAGTCCAAACAAAACCAAAATCATTTAGTTGTGACGATTGTGGAAAAAGATTTGGGAGAAAGTCTAATTTAAACAGACACATGAGTGTCCACACAGGACAGAAACCTTTTGCCTGTGAGTTCTGTGGAAGAAGATTTAGCCGAAAGACACATTTAAACCGACACATGCAAGTCCACGCAGGCCAGAAGCCTTTGGCCTGTGAATTGTGTGGACAAGAATTTAAAGAAAAGACAGATTTAAATGAACACATGAGAGTCCACACAGGACAGAAACCTTTTGCCTGTGAGCTCTGTGGACATCTATTTAATTCAAAGGCATATTTAAACCGACATTTAAGAGTCCACACAGGACAGAAGCCTTTTGCTTGTGAGCTCTGTGGACACAAATTTAGACAAAAGGCGAATTTAAATGAACATATGAGAGTCCACACAGGACAGAAACCATTTGGCTGTGAGCTCTGTGAACAAAGATTTAATTCAAAGACACATTTAAACCGACACATGAGAGTCCACACAGGACAAAAACCTTTTGCTTGTGAGCTCTGTGGACAAAGGTTTACCCAAAAGACAAATTTAAACGCTCACATGCGAGTCCACACAGGACAAAAACCTTTTACTTGTGAGCTCTGTGGACAAAAATTTAGCCATAGTTCTAGCCTAAACAGTCACATGAGAGTCCATACAGGACAGAAACCATTTGCCTGCGAACTCTGTGGACAAAGATTTAGCTATAAGAGAGGTTTAAACAGTCATTTGAGAGTCCACACAGGAAACAAGCTTTTTGCCTTGGAACTTTGTTGAAGCATATTTAAACAGATAAATGAGGGTCCACAGGTGGACACAAATAACATATTTAACTGCCAAGTTTACCGAAAAAGGGACCATTGTTGTTTATACATCCCATACTTCATAGCTACACTACATATACCAAACCAGGGGTTGGCTACCCACGGCTCTTTCATCTATCTGATACAGCCCTCTGTGCTTGTAAAAGAATGAATGAATATTTAATTAAAATGTATTTTATTTTACTGCATTCATTTTTTTCTGTATGCCAATTCTTAATGTAAAGATGGTCATCTTTTAAAACCGACCGCTCGCTGTCCACCTTACGTGCGCACTGACGGTGAGCTATACAGAGTCCAGTATAATGCTCAGATGTTCCGATGGGAATATTTTCTTGGTTTATTTATGCCTGGGGCACACAGAAGACAGATGCGCTGCGCCACAGAAGCACAGCTGTTTTAGAAAGTCAAATGGTCACATAGGACTTGCTAGGCCGCCGAACGCTTCTTGGAAAATCGGGCGATAGTCAAAACATCACGCGGAACTACAACAAGAAGCTGAAAGGGATTTTTTTGTTTAAATGAGATCAGACTTACCATTGTGTTTTGTGAGACACTAATTCATTAAAAATGGGTAAGTACGCTATTTATTAGAATATTTTAAGATCAGTAGTACTTTAAAGTTTTCAATACTGTAATCAAGTAGCATTTATGAGTTCATCCATGTTTTGGCGGTTGGGTTTGTGCAGTAGAGCCGCTCTGCATCATAATGTCTGTTGTAAAGTACTCCAGAATGTTGTAAACAGCTATGCCACGATGCTTGAAATAAAACAGGCACCTATCTTCAGTGCCTCTGTGCGGACCAGCGTTTCTGGGACGTGGCGTTGCGCTGCCCATGTAGCCACTGTCAGTAACTATAACGACTTCTTTTTAAAATGACGGCATGGGCAGGACGTGGCGGCGCAGCTTATCTGTTTTCTTTGTGCCCCAGGCTTTAGCTACCTACGCGATGTGCATATCAATTGAAATGTCAGTGCATCTGCATGCGTCGGGGTAATTCTTTCAAAACAACCAACAGCCTTGAGGTTTTTCCCTCAAAATAAACGGTCAAATACGGCAAATATCCGGTCAATGCGATCCCTGCCATTTAGCTGTTTTTGCCTTCTAGGCACTTACGGGCTACAACTTCTGGATCAATTTTATACAAACTGTTTTATTATCTTCGGTTGAAAGAAAACTTTGACGTACATGAGCGAACGGTCACCTGTTGTGATCGATTAAAGCAGCTCTTGGCTGTCTTAGTATGGGCCCAAGTGCAAGTGGGTAGGCCCATTCACAACGCCGAACTTGTTAATGTTGAATGCATGGTTTCCACTCAATATCAGCAGATTCTGGAGACCAATGTCCAGGAATTAGTGATAAAGCTGAAGCTGTGCTGGGGCTGGATTTTTCAATAAGACAATGACCCTAACACTGCTAAAAATCTACCAAGGCATTCATGCAGGGGAACAAGTGGAACATTCTGGAATGGCCGTCTCAGTCCCCAGACCTGAATATTATTGAAAATCTGTGTTAAAGAGAGCCGTTCTTGCTCAGAAGCCATCAAACCTGAATGAACCAGAGATGTTTCGTAAAGAAGAATGGTCAAAAATACCTTCACCCACAATCCAGACTCTCATTGGAAGCTACAGGAAGCATTTAGAGGCTGCCATTTCTGCAAAAGGCGGATCTACTAATTATTGAGTTTGTTTCTTTTGTAACGTAATGTAAGTGGTTACTTTTAATAAATGATCAATAAGATTCCGTATAAATATGAATTAGCAATGATATTGATCTTTTGAAATTTAAGATGAAACCAGGGGTCTCATTTACCAAACATTGCGTAGAATCCTTACTAAAACCGTACTTAAGCTCAGCAAATAAAATGTATGCCAAGTAGGTTTGTTATCTATCAAACATGGAGTACACACAGCTTTACGCAATCTCCGCTTCATAAATCTGAAACTATCTAGAAATTTTCTCAGCTGCTTTTTAGTCACATCCCGCCCTCACCACGCCCTTTTACTGCCATAAATGGTCAATGCAAAGTGCCTTTTGGATCTCGTGCAAATACATAAGCCGGCTGTTGCAGCACTCCGCCAATGACATGGCGACCGTAGATCAAGGCAGATCAAGGAAGCACAATTTCACAGAAGCAGAAATTCAGGTACTTGTGGGTGAGGTGGAGAAATGAAAGGAGGTGCTTTTGCAAAACAAATAAGAGAAAATCCACAGAGTGGCACAGCGTTGCTGAAGCCGTCAATGCGGAGTTCTTCAGAGAGATCTGTGGTGGATATAAAAAAAATGCTCCAATCGGGATTCAATCCCCAGACTCCAAGGTGAAAGTCATGCGCGCTAACCAGTCAGCCAAACAGAGATCTCCCCTTGTCCAAGTAGCCTGCGCGCATGGTTAATCGGGTCACAGTGACAGGACACACACTGTTACAGACGCATGACATTGTGACTCAATCTGTCCCCCTGCTGATTTTCTGCATTCCGTATTCTGCGCTTCAGGCTGTGTGTGTGCGCCATCGACATATAAATATTGGACAATGGGTTTCCATAGGCTCCAATAACACGTTTTTGAAGAAAAATGGGAGGTGGCCACCACCGCCATTTTGACCGTGTCACAGGTTCCGTCAAGCCCAGACAATTCCACAAAAGGGAAGAGAGGTGGAGCTGAGGGTGGGGCTGTAAGGCTGGGATCAACTGACGACACCCGGTCGAACTAGCTACTAGCTAACCCAAAGCTAACGCGGAGCGGAGGTGGGAGCTAAGCTAACAGTGGTAGCAACCTAGCTACAACCGAAGTTAACTGTGCACAACACCAGAGCTTCTGAGTCAGAGATACGCCGGGCTGACCGCTGGGTAAAATCGGGTAGAACACAGGTCTCCCGAGCGCTCCACAAACCGGCAGCCGCACAGCAGACAAGCGCCGCTGCGATCTGAGATTCGCAGAGCTGCCGCTGGGGAGAACCGGGTGGAAAGGTTTCCATCCGAGAGCTCCACAAGCCGGCAGCCCGCGCAGCAGACAGAAGCCGCGATCAGACAGAGATGCGCCGAGCTGCGGGGAGGGGAGAAACGGGTGGAAAACAGAGGTCTCCCGAGAGCTCCACAAGCCGATAGTTGGAACCCAGCTCTACCAACATGTTATATTTCAACCCATTTCCTAAAGTGCAGCATTATGTTAAATGCACTGGGGTTTACCCTATTACATTTAAATTTCGTGGTTAAACAGTACATGTTAAAATCTAAGCTCAGCTCGGCAGTGACCTAAAATACATAAATATAATTTTACTTACCGAATATAAGTGGCGACTCCTTGGACGCTCTATTAGTGCAATTAATGCCACAGCAAGTCATTTTGTCCAACAATTGCACAAATAATATCCAAAAAAGAATACACAAACGCTACAACTAATGGTCTAAGTTGAGAGACTGAAAATGACCGAACAGTTTTCAGGCGAGACCAAGGTTCAGGCTGAGGCCTTTCCCCGGAGCTAGCTCTGTGGTCACGTGGGTCTGATGCTCATTAATTATACAGAATTTTAGGCTTTTAATACACTTAAACAGAAGAGTGAGAAAAAAATTCACCCCCCTCAGAGTTGTCATGAGTGTAAACTAGATCATTTAAACCAAAAACATGTTTTGGTACCAGGCTGTAAACATGTTTATTTCTGCTGTGAAATTGGTATTTTTAACATGGGAGTCAATGAGGATTTGCTCGCTTCTGACACCAGCCTCTAGTGGATGAGAGTGGAACTGCAATTTATTTCATTTCTTTTTTTTTAAACATATGTTTATTTGGTTTTTTTCGTCCCCTTTTTTCCCTTACCCCCCTTCCATCAACAGTATCCAACACAACAATATAATGTACATATGGCAGGTATTAAAATACTAATAATGATAATAATAATAATAAAAATGTTAATTCTAACAGATTCAAGGTAAGTGAATAATAATTTAAGATAACAAACAATGCAATCAAATAAGAGAAAAAAATAAAAATAAAAATGAAAACTAATAAAATAAAAAATATCATAAAAAAATAAATAAATAAAAATAAAAAATAAATTTTAGGTTACACAATATATTCCCAACAACACGTCAGATATCATTCATCATTGTCTAGTTATATTATTCACCCCTCACCCCCCTCCAAATCCCCACTCTTCAGTAGATCCAGAAATATCTTCCAAATGTTATAAAATTCAGAGGCCTTCTCTTTAACAATATAAGTCAGTTTCTCCAGAGCTGAACTCGATGTTACGTTGTTTAACCAGTGGTTAAAGGAGGGGCAACCAACATTCTTCCAACATAATGCAATACAGCGTTTGGCCTGTAACAAAGAAAGATCGATCATTTTTCTTTCCACACGCGACAGAGTACAGTCATCTGGGTACAAGCCTAAAATACATAACTTAGGGCAAAGTGGTACAGGGGAAGTTGTGATCTGAGAAATATATTGTAACACTGAAATCCAAAATTTTTGAATCTCTTCACATTTCCACAGGCAATGGTATAATGTACCCTGATGTCTATTACACTTATAAGTGTAATTTATTTCATTTCTGCTTTTGCTTCAATTTTTCATCCGCATTGTGGGGGCTTGGTGTGTGCGCGTGTGGGGGGTCTTGTTCTGTGTGAAAACGAAGCAATACAAGTGATAATGCTGCAGGATTTCATAATTTTATCCTTCTCAGCAGCAGCACTCCATGTCCAAAATGTGTGTAAGCCAGGTCCTTAGTCAACTTAAAGTTGCACACATTTTTCTGCTAAGATTTCTTTCAAAAATCCCAAAGTTTGCGTGGAAAGTTGCTTACGCAGTTTTCCGACCCCGTTTTGTGCGTAAGCAAGCTTGATAAATGAGGCCTCTGGTCTTTTTAGTAGTTCAGAGAAATCACACTTTCATAATAATTTGAGACAGAGGCAAACATACAGTTAATAAAAATCTATTTAATACTATATTTCTACTATTAATGATGACTGAACAAATTATGATGAAGGTGGTTGAAACAAGAGAACTGAGACAATGATTGAAATGATGGAATGTGAGCTTAAATGTTGTGCAGCTAAACCTATAAATGCCTTAGAAAATTGTGATGTCTGGGTTGTAAAATCATTCTGATTGGTATTTATCTTGATACACAGCTTCTTGACTCGGAAAGTAATTTACTCTCTTACACTGACTTCCTAAATTTATATGGTTTACCTGTTCCACCAAAAGAATACGCCATGGTTTTTGATGCTATTCCTGCTGGTTTTAATGCTCCTCAAAGGCTCAGTGGTTGGGGACTCGGCCCCACTGCCGCTGGAGCCAGCTGTCACCTCTGTGGGCAGGATCTGTTTTTCGAGGATGAAGAAAAATAACAATCGTGATATAAGGTCTCTGTTTCTAAAGGATAAGACTCATACTCCTAATGCTATTGTATAATGGAACAGCTTGTTTTATGACCTGCATTGGGAAAAGATTTGGACTCTACCATCTGTTTCTATTGACAAACAAAGTAAAAGAGGTTTCTTTCAAGATTATTCATCGTTTCTATCCTACAAAATATTTTCTGAAGAGATACAAAAAGGATATTGATGTAAACTATGTTCATTTTGTTACCTCCAAGTCAAAGATGTTATACATATTTTCTGGTCTTGTCCATTCTCTAGTAAGTTCTGGCAAGAGTTTAATATTTTTGTAATGAAATATTTTACTGAAGATGTTTCGCTTTCTTTGGAAAATTTGATATTTGGTTTCTATAACTACCCGATGAATAAATCAGACCAATTGTAGATAACCAATTTATTAATATTGTTGGCTAAATTCCATATTCATAAGACAAAGTTTTCTAAAGAAAAACCTTGTTTTCAGCAATTTCTCTATGAAACAAAACAGTATCTGTTATCCATTCAACATGCCCACAATGCAGTGGAATCAAAACCGTGATTATATGCTCATCTTTTTGGCTTATGTAAATTTTATCTCAGCTGACCGTTTGTGTTATGAGCCCCTGATACTGTGTGTTATATGTATGCTCTTTTTTGGTATTATTTGTAACTATTGTAACGTTCAATCTGCAAATAAAGATTTGTTAAAAAGAAAAAAAAAGGAAGAAGAAACCGGAAGCTGTTAGCAGCGTTAGCTTATTTTTCCGGTGTGTGAGGTGGACCTCTGAGGCTCTGCAGCAACAATGTCTTCAGCTCAGTCTCTGAGAGAGTTTATCAGAGAGCGGCTAACTGCTGCTGCTGCAGAAATATTCTCCGAGTTTGAACAAACCATCGTCCGCTACGAGGAAGAGATCGATCGTCAGCGCAGACTGCTGGAGATCAGCTGGAAACCACAGATCAACTTACACAGAATAGGTATGAAACAGCAGCGGGACCAGGGGCGGCTCTATTGTTTATTTTTATTTATTTTTTTTACCAGCAGTTGGTGTACAGCTGCTTAGTCCTTGTGTTGTTTTGGGATTGCTGCTCTCAGCCGCTGGTGCAGGCCGAAAAGCCAGGAGGCGGCTTATGCGGCCTCTCGGTAAGGTGACCAGATCCAAAGTTGCCAAATGTGGGACAGAGACACGTGATGTGGGACAACGTGAAATTGGAAATGAAGTACAGGAACAGGTGAAAACTTTTATTCTGCCTTTCAATCGGCCCTTGTCAGGCGACGTACCGTGCCGCGTTGCATGATGGGATAGCTTGGTGTGTAAACAAAGGAAACATCTTTCGTTTAGTGTTGTTGTGAACTTATTAAACTGCAGAAAATGCGACACTCCTGTTGTGTGAAGGTTGCCATGCTATCGTCACAAAATATGCAAAATATTAAATGTAGGCAAGGATTGCGTTAACTGGATATTTTTCGTTTTTGACCGTTTATTTTGACTGCGAAATGTCAGGCGTGCTGAGGAGCTGTGTGAGCAGCCAGACCAGCAGCAGAACGTTCCTACTTCAAGTTAAATCGTTTCATTGTAGCATTAATATGGACACGATGGTCATTTTGTTTGGACTAAATATTAATGAAAATTAAATTGACTTTATTTCTATGTGAGAAATGAAAATGACGGGAGGAAACGATCATGACCGCTTTTTAAACTCTGGCATTTAAAATGAAAACTAACATGTCTAGCGCAACCTTTGATGTACATACTCTTTTTGTACCTGCTTGTAACTCAATTAAGGCCCGTTCAGAAAATAAAACCTGTGTTAGTGGATTAATGTTTTAGGATGGCTACTTTTTACTTGATTATAAACACGTTGAAGGAGTGCTACACTTACTCAAATGATGTATTTTCAGTAGTAATGAAAAGTCTGAGCTCCGTTTGGTTCCTTTGATGTCGTAGGGGTCTACAATGTCGACTGTAGACAATTTCCAAAAGCCTCCTTCAGAAGTTTAATCCTGTAAGGGATGTTCTTTTTAACTTCTTGTGCTGCTTCAACTTCAGCTGTGGCTTACTCTAGCAACGTGAATCATACACCTAAAATGGAGCTAAGGGGGTACGGTTGACATGAAGGTCACGTGTCTGACAAGGACCGATATAACTATTAAATATACATGCAATTGTTATTAGTAGAGAATATTTCGGCATCGGTATCGGCCGATGTTAGTCTTTTTTTTAACATATCGGCCTGATAAATAAAACCGGGCCGATATAAACAACCAAAATTTTTTCCATCTTGTCTCCATTTGTTTGCCGTATCAGAGGGTGAGGGGGGTGACGTGTATTTGTTTAGTCATGTAACAGTGGTTGTAATCATCTCAGAAGTGTAAACGTGTGATGTGTGTACATAATAATGTAAATTCAGCTTTAATAGTTTTCACTTTATACAACATCTGATGATTTTTAGAAGCATTAATGTCAGCATATCAGTATCGGCAAATATTGGTTATCGGCCATAACAGTGATATTAATATCGATATCGGCCCAAAAGTGTCACATCAGTGCATCCCTAATTATTAGTATCATTGTTTATTTCATGTCTATTTGAATTCAACTTAAACAGCAACGCTTTCATACTTTTTCACAGTTCTAAGATAACTCAGGCTCTTTGGACCTTCTACGGTGGCTCTGAGTAACTTTAGCTATAATCATTTAAAAACAGTGAAATCCTTTTTTTAAAATGTAAATCAAATTCAAGAGTTTGGGTTGCTAACTCCAGCTAACCTCTAGCTACTGCCTGGCACCGCTCATGAGCTGACTCGTGTGGTTCTACTGAGGACACAGTCTCAGGACAGTCTGCTTGGGTCCATTTGCTGTTCTGAAGCTTTCTGACACAAGTGAGCTGAAATCAGTCGGTAAACTTTGTTCCACTTTAGAGAAATAAATCAATAACATTTCAGGGGCTTTAGGAAGTTTTCAGTAACATTTTCAGGAACTCCACTGAATCCGTTTAAAAGAGACAAACTTTAAAGACGTAGTGAACGTTTTCAGCGGATGTTCTACAATCAGACACTTGTTTAGAACAGTTCTGTTGGTCTGATCTGTTCGTGGACATGACCAAATAAAGCTGTCAGCAGCATCAAAGGGGAGATGATTCCATGAGAACATCCTCAGTCCTGTTTTCATCAGAGACTGATGCATCTGAGGACCGTCTGGATGTTCATGTCTCTATAAAACTAACCTGTAGTACCTGTGTGTCTTATCGTCACCTTACTCCTCATTTAGTCTGGTCTGTTTGTCTGTCCAGAACTCCCGCTGCATTATGTCAGGAGAGATGAGGAGGTTCTGACTGACCAGCAGCTCTGGAACCAGGAGAGGACCTCCAGTTTGGACCAGGAACAACCAGAACCTTTACAGGAGGGACCAGAACCTCCACAGATGAAAGTGGAGCAGGATGAGCCAAAACCTTTACAGAGTCTAGAACAAGAGGAACTCTGCATCAGTCAGGATGAAGAGCAGTTTGTACTGAAGCAGGAGACGGTTACCTCCCTTGTGACTCCTGCTGATGAGGAAAGAGACCACGATGAACCAGAACCAGACAGACACCAGCTCCTTTATTCACTGTTTCCTGAGGCTGAGATCAGAGCTGCTGCTCCTCCAGGACCAACAGGTGAGGGGGTATCTATGCTAATTTTCCGTATTGTGACATCACAGTAAGTGACATGTTTTAAGCCAGGGGTCGGCAACCTTTTCTCATCAAGGAGCCATTATTACCAGTTTCCCACGGTAAAGAAAACCCCGGGAGCCACAGCAGCCGCGGCGTTGTGGGTGGGCCTACTGGGCCTGGGCCCGCCCTAAGACAGCCGAGAGCTGCTTTAACCGATCACAACGGGTGACGGCAACCGACGTGCAACAGCATGTTGTTGAGATTAAAAACACACTTAACATGAAGGCTCAGCATCCATTTGCTAAATCCTAATTGCTTAAAGGGGCATTATGGAAGCTTGACAGCCAAAACATGTATAGAAATAATAAATTTCTTCTTCATACATTCTCCTGCAATGCCCTGGTCCTGTAGAATGAGCCCTGGCATTTTTACTGTGATTGCCTGTATTTCTGTAAAATCACAGAAAAAGAGAGATGCTCGGGTCGAGCAGGCTGCTTCATGCGCGTTCACGCTCAGGCATCGCCCGTAGCATTTGCTATCAGTAGCTTTAGCAGCAGAGAGAGAGGCAGTGCCACTTTGTCGCTGTTCCTAACGCCTAGTGACAAAGCTAGCTACATTTCTGAGGACCCTTAGCTACTTTCTGTAGAACTTTCTTCTAGATATTTCCTGCAAATTAGCAACAAAATAGCCATTTTCGCTCCGAACCGTTCTTGAACGTTGTTTCAGCTGTCATCAAGGATATAAATATTACAGATACAAAGGACATCACTGGTGCTTTAGCTCACCTAGTAAGACGTTGGACTCTCGTGCAGAAGACCCGGGCTCGGTTCTGGGTGTGACCGTAGTTTATTTAGAGTTTATTTTTTACATTAATTATATATTTTTTTACAGTAAGATGCCCAAATTTTTATTTGAGACTCGCCGAACGGCATTGAAATCACAGATAAAAAAGATGTGGGTTCAACTTTCATTTTGGAACAATTTTTCAAGCAAGGGAAGGGAATGATCTGAGCATGCAGGAGGACTGACCCATCATAAACCTTTGTCGGCTGTGCTGAAGAGAAAGGTACAGAACCAAATTATTTAATTAATTAGCTGCGCGTTCTCCTGTCCTCTGTCCTCCGCCCCCCCCCCCCCCCCCCCCCCCCCACACACACACACACACAAGGGACTGTCTCAGCTGTTATTTTCGTTAAGGAGTGTGCACGTACAGCATGCGCGCCTCGTGCACGAGCCTACTACTGAAGTTGCCGTTACGCTTTTGGCCTGAGGGGGCAATCGCGAGCATAACAATTCAAAACTCCGTAAAGTCCCTTGAACTTTTGTTACAACTTTATAAACAATTTACACTGAAAAAGAATTTTACACAAATGTAATCAGTGCTAGCAGTAGGGCTGGGCAATAAAAAGAAAATTTATCGTAATCAAAATTTCTAACTCTTATCTAGATAATTTTTCTATAAAAACCCTTATGTTGCATTAAAGCATTTTTTTGTACTAACATGTGTATTTTTGTGAATAACTTTAGCTATTTTAATGCAATTTATCTCATTTTTATGGAGATTGTGTATTTTGGAAGGAATTACAAAAAAAAGTTAGAAAAAAAAATTCATCTTCCTCTATTATAACGTGGACAATTTTGTACAGTTAAGCATCTTTCAGCATTTTTTGTGCCATTGACTTTCATGTAAATCATATTTTTCTAATTAGCATCAATATTAGCATAATAAAAAAATATTATTGTGTCTGTGTTCACAGGCCTCTCACAAATTTAATATGCAGTTTTACTCTTTTCCACTAGATGGCGCACTTTCTCCAAATATAGCAGGGCAATGACTGACACAGCATTTAAAGGTTGAGTGTGGAAGATTTTAATAAGATTTTGATAAAACGCTATATTTATAAGAAATGGGAAATCCACAGGGCATTTGGAGGTGTGCACAATGCTTAAAAAGCTATATTTTAATAGAAAACCGAAAAAACATTTATTAGGTCTGGCACGACCCAGTGTTTGTTTACATCTAGCCAGGTGTATGTTTACAATTACAACAGCCAATAGAGGTCGCAACTGAGGGTTGCCAAGTACGGTCCGCTCTGCACAGCCAGGCTGGCACTGGGGAAAATGGCGGACACAGACACAGCAAGTAAACCAGCTGCTCCTCAGCCCAGAAGACCTCGTAGTTCAGCTCAGAAGAGGAGCGACCAGCAAAGATCGAAAACCCGAGTGAGTTTGGGAGAAGCATACACCAGATGGACCCAAATAAAGAATTTTCACCGCATCCAAACACACGCAGATATGGCTAATTTTCTCATGGATCGGTAAGCTAATTCGCTAGCTAACGTGTAATATTACTTCTCGGTGAAACCTCTTTGCAATACTTCTGTTCATTTTATCATGTTTTTTTCTAGATATGAGAAATCTGAACATGGACATGAACATGGACCATCAACCTCCACACCCACTAAACGGAGGCGGCTAAATCCTCCTGCTCTGTCCAGTATTGCTGGCTCACTTTCAACATGCCAGCCAGACAAGAGTGGCGATGACACGCTATCAGACTCCGAAATTACATGCCTAGAGGACAGGTAAAAATCATTTTGTTGTATTTGTCTTTGCATTAAAGATGGGTGATATATGCAGTTACTTTCAAAATATAGAAATAATTTCAAACAAACAAAATGACTCTGCTGCTGTTAGCATTAGCATTGACCGCTAACATTAGTACTTTCCGATTGTTTACTCCGTCTCTCAGTGGTCATCACATGTAATCTTACTCGTCTGGTCTTTCAGAAATTATTTGGCTTAATGTTCAGCTCTAAATCTTGCATTTGGCTTCACTGTTTTTTATTATTTGGGAACGTTTGTTGGTTTTTTCAGATAGCAGCTTGCTCCGTCTCTAGACCTCGGTCAAGTGAGCCAACACTTGGAAATACGCGTTATCACATTTTGTCTAACGGGTATGCTCTGTAAGGAAACCTCTGGCTGAATGTTTTGCTCTAAATGTGGCATTTGGCTACATGTTTTTTACTTGATTCAGACGCTCTTTTTTTCATTTCTTTCATTCCATTTGCGGTTAGTTGCTAGCTTGTGTGTGTGTGAGGGTCCTGTGACTCGATTGATCACGCGCCCTGGCTGCTTGGCCACACGGATGTCCCTTTGGCTGACTGGTTAGCACACGTGTCTCTCACCCGGGAGTCTGGGGATCGAATCCTGCCCGGGCTGTAGTTTTTCCACCTTGCCACACGTGCTCGTTTGTTTCTGTGATCCTCTTCAGTGTATGCCAAAGTGAGTTATAACTCATATCAAGATATGGTTCATGTCGTCTAGTCCTAGTTTGTTGTGTTTATTTTTCCTTTTGTATATTGTTTTAGTGGATATTGTATTGAGCAGTGCTTTTGTTGAACCTGTGCTTTTATTTTTTGTTCAGCCAGCATGAAATTAATGTGCAGGAAAGTACACAGTCTGCCCTGGGTGTGGATGTGGGCATCGAGGAGATCAATGATTTGAGGAACAGCATGTAAGTGACTTTTACTAAACTTGATGTGGCTATTTTTATTTCTTATTTATTGTGATCATCGTCATCATATATAATTTTCTTCTAAAGTGTTGACTGGTCACAAGGACAAATTGATGAGGTGGATTCTGCTCCAGCTGACAGTTCAGATGAGGACTTTGTTCTGGGTATTTGCATTCGGTAGGTAATTTCTTACAGCTTCATGTGACATATGTGATGAAAAACACTTTCCTACTTTCAATAGATACATTGAAAACAGTGAGTGTTGGAGCTATTTAGTTTATTATAGGCTTAAGTTATAGCCTAGTTTATTTTCTTTATTTTATGCTAAAGGTAATTTCTTTGTTTTGCATTATGCTTTTTATTTATTATTTTGGCTAATTAGTTTATTGTTTATTGGTCAGGTGCGGGTGATTATTGTATAAATAGGTCAAGGTGGGTGGAGCAGCCAGGGCTGTGAGGGAACATGGTTTTTTTACCACACACACACACACAGAGACGGAGAGGACGCAAAAATCTGTGCTCTTGCTGATGGAGTGAATAAACCACCACCAAACGCAATTTCGGCATGGACATTGCTTTATTTGAAACCTTTTTTTTTTCCGTGTGTAAAGCCTAACCCTTGACGTAGCCCAGTGGCCATTTGAAAGTATTTGATTATTTTTTGTTTAAGTTTTATGGACAAATAGCCACTACAGTGAGTAAAAGCTAGTTTCAGGAAATGGTATCCGTCAGTGGACAATATCAGCACAAGCTATGGTTATATACAGTACACACTCTTTAGAAAGCTAAATTGCAATAACTGAAAACAAAATATGTGCATTTTAACAACCCTGAATGAGAAAACTGTAACGACACCTTCAACAAAAGTAATAGCGATTTTTATTGATTTATAATTATTTATTTTATGTCCCACTCATGCATTTCTAGGATGGGTGGAGCATTAAAGTCACCGGTGTGCATCCAAAATCCACCCATCATAAATTTAGAGGAGTTCACGACATCCCTGATGACACAGACCAACCACCGCTCAGTGTTCCAGGAAACAGAGGTGAGGGTGTCAGGCTGCAAACATGAGGACTTGATACTTTTAATTCAAAACTTTTTAAAGACTTCAAAATATTACGTTTGTGAATTACTCCAATCTCTGCCAGGCAAAACAACACCCACGTTCCCAACACCACTAACTGTGCAATGTGAGGAAGATCTCATTGGGAGGCGTGCCGTCATTATTTATGAAGACTTGCTGCGACAGCTGGCTTCATTCCTGATCTTACCTGTCCAAAACTGTCCATACAAGGGTGAGCTAACTGGAATGCAGTGCCAGTCCTTACCCCCGTATAGGGATGGGTACTGAATTCGGTACTTTTTAAGGTACCGACAGAATTCCACAGTACCGACCGAGCACAGATTCACTTCATTTGAAACGGTGCCTCGTTTCGGTACCCGTCCTTCACAACGAGAACTTGCCTAGACAGCTGCGCATGCGCAAGAGCGTTACGTCATCGGTCGCTGCGAGCCAGTTGTAAACAGTGCAGCATGGTAGAAGGAACGCACGCTAAAGCTTGGGTCCACTTCACTAAATGTGATGGGTAACTGGGTGATGATGAAGCCAGCGACAACGATCTAAGTGAGACATCCTCATCTTAATCTGCTCCTGTAGGTAAATAAAATGTTTAAGATAACGTTAGCTTGATTTGTTAGCTTCCGTTTCACTAATGGTGCGTTCGCTTTCTCCTCGGAACTCCGAATATCCGACTAGAAGAACAAGAACGTGCTCTAAAGTTTGGCTTCACTTTACTAAATGCGACGGGTGATTGGGTGAAGATGAAACCAGCGACAACGATCTAAGTGTGAGGCATCATCGTTTTAATCTGCTCCAGCAGCTAAATAAACTGTTTAAGATAACGTTAGCTTGATATGTTAGCTTCCTATGCCACCATTGTTATCAGCTAATGGTGCGTTCGCTTTCTCCTCGGAAATTCTAACTTCCCAGTAGGAAAAATCAAATGAAAAAAGACGGCAAAAGGAATGAAGATACACAGTAAATTTAGTTCACAGTAAATATGTTTGCTTCAGTTTAATTATCAGCTTATAAAACTACAAGGACGATGTTAAAATACAAACAGTTGAATGTTATTGATCGTGATATTTATCAAATATTGTTATATATTGAGAAAAATATATATTTAATTATAAAAGAGAATTAAAATAATAAACACTCAAAAGTATCAAAAACTGGTACCGTTAAGTACCGGTATCGATTCGTAGGTACTGGGAATTAGTACCGGATCGATTCAAATGTCAAAGGTACCCATCCCTACCCCCGTATGACATCTCTATCACCTCACGTGGAACCGCTTGCATTATGGACTGGGTTAGTAATTTAACCTGTAATACGTCTACTGCCCTTAAGTGTTAAAAACTAGTATTTGTATCAGAACTAACGAAGGGCATAAAGTGATTTACACTAAGCAAATGGCCTTCTCCCTCCTGTATCGCCACCACCAGTAGAAGAACTCCTTCGCATACAAGTCAAGCGAGGTGTTGGTATGTCAAAAAAGTTTTAAACCTAGATTTAGAAATATTGTTTTCCTTTTTTCCTGCCCTGCTGTTTGAACAGAAATATTTTCTCGCCTCCTCCTCCCTATCCCATTGTTCTTCAGCAGCAGCCCCAGCCTAACAGCAGTGACCTTGACCTCCAACCAGACCCACCTCACCTCGCATGGCTTTTGGGTTCAAAGAGACTGGGACCTCGGGATGTGAACGTGGGCCTAGCCTCACTCAGAGTACAAATAAAAATATAATATTTTTGGGAAACAATGGCTGAATTATTTATTTACATTATTTGCTTAGTCGTTTGTGAAGAATTTGATCTGTGTAAACGTTCCAAAGCCAGGCCTGATATGACGCCATGATAGAAATGTTCTACATTGGGGCTGGGTGAAAAAGTTATTGACATTTAGTCATTTCCTCTCACAATAACACAAAAAATAGAAAATGAATAGACATAAAAGCTCTGTATTTGATGATGCACAACTCTGCGACCAACCAACCAGACCAGCGTGTCCAGTAACATATTAATGTTACAATTAAACTTGATTAACCCCAGAGCCATGCGTACTGCGCTGTACTCCATGACTGTAAATGAGGGGAAACGATTTAATCGGATCCTTTTCTCTTCAGCATGGTTTAATGTAAAGTTTCATTCAGTACAAACTTTAGTTACACCAATCTTACGAGACAGAGCCTAGATTTGTATTCTGAACAGTTTAAACATGTTTAAAACGGAAACATGCGTGACGCGTCTAAAATTAGCACCTGCTCCGCTATTATGGAAATTAAACTAACAAGATGAATAACATGAAATTATTTTAGGCACAGACAACATCCCCCACACTTTTGAAAAGCTTGCAACGTGCCTGATCGCTCGTGTACGTCAAAGTTATCTTTCATTAGACGATAATCAATAAAACGATTTATATAAAGTGGATCCAGAAGTTGTAGCCCATCTCTGCCTACAATATTTTGGTATTTTTCACCCTGTTGGTGGTTTTACTGAGCAGGTGCCACTTTTGTCATACTTTTCTTTTTAAAACATGCTTAGACTGTTCAGAATACAAATCCAGGCTCTGTCACGTTAGATTGTTGTAATTAAACTTTGTAGGTGGGGAAGGTCAGAAAGCAGCTCATAAAGCGCATATGATTACGCACAAGCGTGACGCGTCAACCCGGTCTCACAGTAAGACCGGGTTGACCTGTTCAGGTTTACGCAGACAATCTTTACATTTAGAATTGGCATACAGATGTAAAATTAATGCAGTAAAATATAAAGCATTTTATTTAAATATCCATTCATTATTTTACAAGCACAGAGAGCCGCATCAGATGGATGGAAGAGCCGCATGCGGCTCCAGAGCCGCGGATTGCCGACCCCTGTGCTAGCTTACTTTATTGCCCCCAGCAATTTTTAAACCCCACTCAAGTGTATGGTTATCGTCCCCAGCAATTCTGAAAACAAACTGACGCCCTTGCGCTGAACTCCTTTGTCTGGACTTTAGACGTCAAAAAAGATTTAAAAACAAGAATCGAAAATGAACAACAAAATAAAATGCAATTTGACAATAGTCATTATTACTGTTTTGACCAAAATATACTTAATTTTTATTTTTATTTGGGCCACTTAGTGACTCAGTTTATAGTACAAATTATGTTAATCACCAGAAATGAAATATTTGGGTCGTGTCCAAACTTTTGATGCACGAATTGTGAGATAACAATCATTCTCATTCATCTTTGTGTGTGAATGAAACATTTCAACATTATTTGTAACATTTAATAATTTGCAAATAATTTATGACATGTTCACCTCGGTGAACAGCGTCAGTTCTGAACATGAAATACAGTGGCTGGACTTTCTGAAATCCGCACAAATGCAAAAAAGTAATCAACAGCTGTGCTTGATAGCAAAAACAAATAAATTACAATTTTGAGAACATGTTCAAATCATAGTTTTCATCTTTATATTCTAGTTATAACCTCCAGGCCTCAATTGATAAGACTTTATTTGCTCAGAGCTCAGCAACCGTTTGTTTGGGTTGTCTATAGCCTGGCTGTGCTCTCTCTCGGTTTCACAACTACAACCATTTTTCCTCTCCACCGCTTTGTGGTTCCTCGCAGCATAATACATTAGTGACACGTCAGCGGTTTACCAAAATCACGTTTTCCATCAATTCTCTGATAATTGTCAGACCATTTCCGCATTTACTCAAAAGGTATTTTGTGAGTCCTTTTTTCCTCCATACATAGATACCACACGTACAAAGCTTTCCATACACTCGCTCATTCATCCAAGCAACAGTTCAAGCAGACAACATTCAACACAACAAACACTTTCAAAAAAGAGATAAAAAATAAAATGATTAACTTATATAGATCTGTTACATAAATGTGTGAGGGGAGGGGGGTGGGGGGATGAAAGGAAAAAAAATAACCTAGTATGTATTCGTATGTGTATATATGTATGTATATAGATCTATAACTTAATGATTCTTTCTGTGTAAATTGTTTTCTTTTTAAATTTTTTTTTCTCAAATTCATTGGTTGAGATTTTGTCGGCCAACAGGTCCAGGAACTATATTGTTCAATTTCGTTAAGAATCATATGATTATTTCATTTGTATTAATGTTATTTTAGTTAAAAGGGGCAGGCAACATACGTTTTTCTTCTTTCTGTCCCCTTTTTCATTTTGGCTTGCAGCAATTTAGTTCTGACTGTATTTTTATTTTAATGTCAATAAATGAAAATAAAAGATAAAAAAAAAACAGATAACTAGAGCTCATTTTTAGTTCTCCGGCTAAAATGCTCAAAACCCAAGCCAAATACAGGCAGCGTTCAGAGAATCTGTTAAACCATCCTATTCACGGCGGACAACACCATATTTTGAATCTCTATAGTTATCATGCCGGTTTACAAAACCATCCTATTCACGGCGGACGACGCCATCTATTTGTTACACCAGAGTTGCATTTCCAATTTCGGCTAAAATGCAGAAAACCAAGCCAATACAGACAGCACTCAAAAGAACCCGTCAAAACCATCCTATTCACGGCGGACGACGCCACTTTATTCTCTGGTCACCTAGAATTTTCTCTCGGTACCACAAACAAAGCGACAAAGACAACAACAAACTTGTCTCATCGAATCTCTCTGCACTCAGGGCTTGAGTAGTTCATGGATCCGCATTTCTCCTAACGACGTCAAGGCCTCACCGACCCCCCCCCAGCAAACTCAGCGCTGGAGGAGATTAGGTTGTCGACAGTCCTCCGGCGTCGGCTCCTGGCGCCGCGAGGTGACGGGACCCTGGCTCTCAAAGGACCAAATAATGTTAAGGATTTAATCAATATGTTTATCAATAACCCATTTCCTATAGTGAAGAGAGAAAGGAGACAATAAGCAAGCAAGTCAAACCGTTATAACTGTGGCAAATGCATGAAGCGAATTGCATCGAACATCTGCTCACAGGCTTTATTTGCAGACAAAGATAAGAAAGAGAGTACGGTCATTGAGTGAGAGAGAGGGAGTCAGTGTGTGTATGGATTCAAGGATGTGTGTGGGTGTGTGTATGAGAAGAACAGCGTGTGTGTGTGTGTGTGTGTGTGTGCTGAGAGGCATAGAGCAATACATTTACAGTCAATTGATTAAGTCCATGATCAGGAATTAATAAACATAGATTATTCCATAACACTCTCACAATTTTACTTTTGCAAATGGTTATTTCAACAAGTACAAAGCATTTGCATGGATGAAAGCTAAAAAACTTCTAAGGCGTACATTTGTTTTGCAAAACAAATTCCTGCAGAGCCGAGTTTGTTTACATAGAGTTAGGTCCAGTTTACACAGGTGCACCAATTGACTAAAAGTACATATATGAGATTCAGATCCGGATTCATTTCTTTCTACAGAAACCATGAGAAGAAGTTGGAACGCAAATCAAGCCCTGGAGCTGTTTCAGCAGCTGGAAGATGAGGGGGAGCCAGCCTCATCCACGGACGACAGCTCTTTGGATGAAGAAGCTGACGATGAGACCTTTACCCGGGGGCCTGATTCAGGGGAAGAAATGGAAGATGATTCAGATGAGGAGGTGGTTGCCGCAGAGGAGAGAGGGGACCATCCTTTGTGGGAATCAAAGAGCGGGATCGCCTGGTCCCCGACACCTGACACCAGGATTCCCTTTCGGGCTCCAGCCTCCCGCCATTGTGGGATCACCCGCCTCGCGTTCAGCCAAGTCCAAACAATCGAGGACAGCTTTGATTTTTTTTTAACAACAACAGTCCTTGATATAATAATGAAACACACTAATATAGAGGGGAGGAGAAAGTATGATAATTGGACGGATGTTGACCGCGTAGAACTCCGCGCATTCTTTGGGCTGCTCATCCTCGCTGGGGTGCACCGTTCCCACGGGGAATCAACTGCAAGCCTCTGGGGGGAGGAAACGGGGAGGCCGATTTTCAGAGCCACAATGAGTCAGCGAAGGTTCCGCTTGCTAGCGGCAACAGTGCAGTTTGATGACCGCTTGACCAGGGCAGCACGCCAGTTGGTGACGCAGGACAAGCTCGCTCCCCTGCGGGAAGTGTGGGACCTCTGGGTGGCCCGGCTTCCTCTCGCCTACAACCCCGGTGAAGATGTCTGTGTGGACGAACAGCTCGTCGGATTCGGAGGTCGCTGCAACTTCAAGCAGTACATGCCCTCAAAGCCGGCAAAATATGGCATCAAGCTGTGGGTGGTGTGTGATGTGGCCACTTCTTATGCCTGGGGGATTATTCCCTACCTGGGCAAGATGACTAAAGACGCCCCGGCAGAAAGGGGGCAAGGGAAGCGGGTGGTGCTGGAACTCACCGAGGGACTGGGCGGCCGCACTGTCACCACCGACAATTTTTTCACTTCGCTAGCCCTTGGAGAAGAGCTGCTACACAAAAAAATCTGTCTTGTGGGAACAGTTAGACGCACCAAGCCAGAGTTGCCCCCACAGCTGCTGCAGACGAGAAGCAGAGCGGTTCTGTCCTCCCTGTTCGCCTTCACCTCCACCGCCACCGCAGTGAGCTACATTCCGAAGCACAGGCGGAACGTGCTGCTCCTCAGCACCAAGCACCATCGGGTTCAGATCCAGGAGGGACCGCAGCAGAAGCCGACCCCATTCATTGATTACAACCGCTGCAAAGGGGCTGTTGACAACTTGAACAGGGTAATTTATTTATTTTATTTTGTTTTATTATAATTCGCCAACCTATTTGCATATTTTATTTATTTATTCATTTGTTTTGATTCCAGCTCGTCGCAACATACAGCTGCCGCCGCAAGACCAGACGTTGGCCCATGGCGCTCTTTTGCAACATTTTAGATGTAAGCGCGTACAATGCCCTGGTCCTGTGGCTGTCTGTGGAACCGGCCTGGAACCAGCAGAAGAAGAGCATCCGCCGAAGGCTGTTCTTGCAGGAGCTTGGGAGCTCCATGGTGAGACCAGCCCAGGCGAGGCGCACTCGCTTGCCGCTGTCCAGCAGTGCTGCAGCTTTGTTGCAGGTGCAGCAGCAAGCGGAGCCAGCTCCAGCCCAGGAGCAGATAAGAAAGAAAAAATGCCACCTTTGCAGAGGGAAGAGGAGCGTGCATGCACGCTTTTGCAAAACATGTGGACAGGCTGTGTGCAAGGAGCACTCAACAGTTGTGTGCTCAACCTGCAGCTGTTAGCTCACTCCCCTGTGTGTTTCTCTCTTTCTCTCTGTCACCCACACACACACACACACACACACACACACACACACACTTTTTCTTTGTTCATGTTCTATAAATAAGTGTTCAACTGGCTATCTTTATAAGTGCATTTTTTTGTGCTCAAAGGACTTTAGCAGTGCGTATTTTAGAAAATATGACATCACAAAAACTACAAAGTGAGCAAAAAATATTTTTATGCCTATTTGTGACACTCCAAGGCTGTGACAACTTACCCACAAAAAAGGTCATCTGGACATAACACACAAAATGATTTGATTTTTTTCATTTTTTTTATTTGTTTTTTTACGGTTTTCAAACTTCTGGTTTTGATAATAAACCTGGGTATAAAGGGGTTAAATCTGAGAAACACACACATATTTTATTATATTTTGTTAGGGCTGAAGCCAAGGATGAAATTCATGTAAAAAATTTGGGACTTATGAAATATTATATAATATTTCTATGGGAAGCTTTGCAAGTGCATTTTTTGTGCTGAAAGAACATTAACGTTAGATAATAAAAAGGAACGGTAAGGGTTAAAGAAATGAAGAGACATGTGTAGGTTGGCAACATTCAACTCCCTTTAAGATGCTGTACCACCTTGAGTCACATTTTTATGAAACTACAAAGTGAGCAAAAAATATTTTTATGCCTATTTGTGACACTCCAAGGCTGTGACAATTTACCCACAAAACAGGTCATCTGGACATAACACACAAAAAATGATTTTATTTTTTTTTTAATTTTTTTATTTTTTACGGTTTTCAAACTTCTGGTTTTGATTATAAACCTGGGTATAAAGGGGTTAAATCTGAGAAACACACACATATTTTATGAAATTCATGTAAAAAATTTGGGACTTATGAAATATTATATAATATTTCTATGGGAAGCTTTGCAAGTGCATTTTTTGTGCTGAAAGAACATTAACGTTAGATAATAAAAAGGAACGGTAAGGGTTAAAGAAATGAAGAGACATGTGTAGGTTGGCAACATTCAACTCCCTTTAAGATGCTGTACCACCTTGAGTCACATAAAAATGTGACTCGACGTAATATATGTGGTGAGATTAACTGACGGCGCTAACCCTTTAGCAGCTTATTTGTTACTTTTCCACACAACCAGCTTAACTCGCCTAGCAAAAACAGTAATACAGAAGCTTAATACTTTAAACAAAAGCCTGGAGTGCTTTTAAAGAGAAATATTTGATACGGTGAAAGCCTGAGCCAGTACGATTCATCCCTGCTCACAATTTTTTATTGATTTGAAAACAAATTTTTACTTTTATACAATTCATGATGAACTTTGAAATGATCCAACACATTAAAAGAATTTACCAGCCCATATCTGGTTTTATAAACATTATCACAATGTGTTTCCCTCTCTGTGAAGGATGTACTTGATATTTTGTTGTTTGATTTATCAATAAAGTCTGCATAAAAAGACAATGCACTTTATCAGTGATATTCACACGTTATACATATTTTTATTGCTACAATACTCTGTTGAAAATGAAGGGTTAAAATTAGGTTTAGACAGTCACTCTGCTCAGAAAAATAAAGCAACAGAGTCAGAAATTATTAGCATTCATCTTATAATTATTAGGAATTATTATGAAACACTAAGCATCTGAACATAATTTTAAAAAATTGTAATGATCTATAAGGGGCTATTATGAGAGCTGTTGAAGCCTAAAGTTACTGTTCCTTTAAGAGCAAAGTGAGTGTTGGAGATGGGGGGGGGCAACAAAAGTGGCTCCCGACACTTTTCCATGGAATTCAAAACTTTCAGAACAAATACACACCTCCAAACTGTTCTGTACATTTCCCACAAAAATAAACGATCAGTGATGAACAAGAGACTGCTTCTAGACCTGCAGAAAGAGAAAAACAAACAAAAACAAAAAAGAAGGGGACACACAACAATACAACTAGAGCAAACTATGCTCACTGCATAAACCTGATGAGGAAATATAAAATCAACATCGTTTTACTGAACAATCACACGATATCGCAGTGCAATTAGTGCCACCCACAGTGCACAGACCATGTTAGCTTCTGTGTGTCTTCTGTAAGGGGGGATGGTTAGAGTTAGGGTTAGACGTAGACATAGCGTGACCATATATGATTAATTGAGGGCATTTCTTTATGTAAATGACCTGTAGCAGATCAAAGGTCAAATTTACATCTAAAAAAATGATAAGAAAGTAAGACAAAAACATCCCATCTGTCTGGCCTCCATCCCGCCCGCTGCTGTTTCTCACCAGTATCAGCTGATGGAGGGCTCTAGTTTTGTTGCGCTGTTCATGTCAGCAGACACGGTAGGGTCGGTTTGATTCTTGTCAAACTTTAGCCTTAGTGCCTATTCCTTACCAGTCTGAGCTTTAGAAACACTGGTACAGCTGTCTGCTGACACCTACACACACACACACACACACACACACATACAGTTGAGAGCTAGAGGTGTATCAGATGTCCCACAGGCACTTTTTAATTTTATATTTATAATTAATGTAAAATTATTAATATTTCATCTAGAGCTGGGCATATCGTATATTTCTTGTCCAGAGAGAAAAAATATCTGTCTTGTTAAGCTAAATGTATGATGATGTAATTGCATCTACTGAAGATCACATGGGTCATGCACCATAGAGTTATTAAGTTATTAGGGCAAACATGGCTGAAATCTAACAGTGTTGGCTCATATCAGCGATTATGCTGTAATAACTCAGAGTCTCTGGTTGCTCTTTTATGAGTATTATTTTCGGGCTACTGTCGCTGTAACCCACGCCTTACAAACTCTTAACTTTTTCAACAGAATCGCTCGTAACGGAGTATTTACTAGCATAGCAAACCAGAGTGGAAAAACCGGAACATTTCTCACCCGTTGAGCTCGCCCTCAAAATAAAACGGTAGCCCTGTAGTTTACTATTCAAACCCTTACAATATGTTTGAAGTAATTTGGCCACTCCGGCTTTCCGTAGATGTTTCCTCATTACACAGGGGAGGGAGGGGTTTGACTCGTCTCTCCGCACTAGCAGGATGGATAAACAGAACTCTGTTGGCATTGAACATCCCCAAATAATTAAAAACCAGGATGCCAAATGCAAAGTTTAGAGCAACGCATTTACCCAGAGGCTCAGATTGAGTAAACTTGTGAGAATACATGTAACAGCCGCTTAGAGACGGAGCAACATGTCGCTAGCATAGCGGCCAATCGCTAGTATAACAGTTTGACCAGTTAAATCAATATAAAGATATAAAGTCATCTTATATCTTGTTTAAAAATTATACAGATATTTTAAACATATCTAAATATCGCCCAGCCCTGTGTTCCAGACACAAAACTGTGGGTAAATGTGTGTCTAAATGTGGGTGAGTCATCAGCATGAAAGTGGGGGAGCATGAGGATTGGTGTAAAGTACTTGTACTTGATTACATTTGCTGGGTTTTTCATATAGGAAACTTTTTACTGATGGGCGTAATGAACTGACCTGTATTGGAATGTTTACTGTGTGACTCTTGTTGTGATTTGGTGCTATATAAATAAACTTGAATTGAAATAAATTGGGTGAATCGTCAGAATGAGGAATAAACATCATGTACATGCATGGTCATACATATTATGAGATGAATGGTATTTAAAAACTCCAACAACTGCGGAGAAATGTGCGTACGAATGGCCACCGCATGTTTCATAAATCAGTGTTTTGACCGTTCATACAAGCATTCTAAATTTCATTCATAGGAACAGTGGCGGTTTTACCATTAGGCATAGGTAGGCGGCCGCCTGGGGCCCCCTTGTGTTGGGGGGCCCCCTAGCCCTGACCGTCGGCACCCCTCTGTTAATGCCACAATATTCTTATTACCAACCTGTCGTTGCAGACAGGATTGGACACACACACTTCACATTACCATAATTTCTGAACCGTTCAAGATATCATTAAATTTCCAAAAGTGCTGAAAAGATTAAAAATTGGGCTTTTCATGCATATAAAATACATTACGGTAGCCATCGGGATTCCCTGTCTTGAGCGCAACGAATCACAACACAGATTCAGAGACGTGCTGTTTGTCATCCAAAATGCTCCGTTTTATAACTTTTGAATGGCTGATCAGATTCAAAGAATTCCAACAGTTCCTAAAAGTACATAAAAGCAGCTTTCCAACAATCTATAGCATGAACTTCATGCCATGAAGCAATCAGTTATGGAAAATATCGCTATGAGGGGAAATCCTGCTGTACAGACTGAATGAAACGGACCGTAGAGCCGCGGTGAAAGCGGATAACGGAACGGGGAAGCTAATCAGCATAAAAAGCTGGCATGAAATTATGGAAATGCCTCAGAGAAAATCAACACAATCTATTAGATGTCCCAGAAGGCTTATATCTGAAGACAGTGACCAGTAACTTTATGAGTTACCTTTGAACTGCAGTTCTAAAAGATCTACCGACCGCAGAAACAGCGGAGTGCGTGCTGCTCGCCGGCCGCATCAGTGACGTGCATCACCGGATGACAAGGTGATGCGCCCCGATCCACAGCAGCGAAACGCATCAGGCACAAAGAAAAGAATAAAAGACAGAAAACATAAAAGGAAATGAGCCGACATGAACGATCGCGTGTTAAATTAGTTTTTGAGGTGTTGACACCTAATTTGATAATGTTACTGTTACTCAGGACGCAGATGTCTGGAGCGCGTCAACAATCAGAGCTTTGCATGCGCAAGCTGGTTAAGGTTAGGATGGGGGTGAGGGGAAGGTTAAATTGCAAGAGGGTAAAGGTCACAATTTGGTTAAATGTCCGTTTTATGGCGGGTGTCAGTACCGACGCTCTGGCGCAGCGAGTTGCCTCCCGGCACGCAGAAGCTTGTCACCTGCTGGCAGCAGGCTGCTGTCTTTTCTGAGGGCTGCATCTTGCCGGTCATTATCACGTGACAGCGACTAGTCGATGACAGGCATAAAAAGTCACTATAGTGAAATCGACTAGTTCATACAACCCCTATTGCTCCCCAGAGGGTTCTGCAGCATAATCAGCACGTTCTCTTTGAACTTGATATCAAATTTTCGCCTCCTCTTTGTCTCCGCACCTGCCATGGTTAAAGTTACCCTCGCGGTCTATCACTGGCAAATCAAAAGTGAGACGGATGACACAACCGCCCCCCTGTGGTACTTGCTTGTTACCACATTCCACCCGGCCACAATAAAAAAACGGCCATTATTCACCTCCGCCGACTCCGACACCGGCCAAAATGTGATACCCGGCCGTTAATTGAATACAGGCCAATATTAGAGGATTTACGGTGTGTGTGTGTGTGTGTGTGTGTGTGTGTGTGTGTGTGTGTGTGTGTGTGTGTGTTAGTGTAAGAGGTGATAGTTTCCAGAGTTCAGCTGTGTGGTAATGTTATATTCTTGGAAAGGGGGATGTTATGGCGGTGGCTGTAATAACATGCTAGCTGAGAGCGCCCTCTAAAGGGGGTTGAGGGGTTGGCGCGAGAGAGAAATAAAATTGGCGTCCAAGCACGTTACACAAGCAGCGTCGTCTCCTTTCTTCGGGACTAGTGAACACCGACAAGAGACAAGACACTCAGCAGATCCTCCACACTCTATTTATCTCCCTTGAACATCCACTGGAAATGTGGGTTTAGAGGTGGTGAGCACAAGAAGAGTTGGAGGAGAATGAGGGACAAATTTGTCCATGTTAAAAAGGATCGGAAATTAAAAAAAAAAACATAAACACAATAGTGAATGCACACTTTTGGACCGGATACATGACAGAATGCCCCAGAACAGCACTACCCCCTCCGTTCTCGTGGTGGGTAATTTCTTTGCAACATTCCTCAGACAGAAGTCCAAGAGCAAAACTTCTCTTTCAATGAGTGTGCATCTCTCCCTTGTGGAGATGATGCAGAAGCATAAACTAGGCTTTAAAGGAAGGTAGGGGTGACAATCTGGACTCATATCTTGGGGGCTATGCTTCAAAGGGACGGGGGTGTATATTAAGCTGCTTCTTCTGCTCTTTAAAACCGAGATCTTTGGACATTGGGAAAACAGAAAAACATTTATGGCCATCATATAACCCTTTTTTTCTGGCCTCACAAATGGTCAAATTGTTTAATTGTATTTCAAAATGAATAGAAGAATGCATTTCTCCATTACAGGTTTTAAAGCATTGCATGGTCTTGTACCATCATACCTGTCTGACTTGCTCACCCTCTTTGTGCCAGTGCAGTCACTGAGATTAGTGGACCGCTTGCTACTGTGCACTCCAAATTTGAACTTTAAGGCAAGGGGGAGCTGATACTCATTTATACAGTTTATCGTCAAATAAGGTTGATTTTGGTTTGCCTTGCTCTTTAAAACCATAAGAAATATTAAAAATGTCATTCCAGGGATATATTTATAATTTGTAGTGAATATCTGGTTAATCTTGAGTTAACTATGAATCATGATTTAAATGAGTTATCAGCTGTTGGCACTAACCTTTAAATTAATCAAAGTTTCCTTTTGTCTTTTGGCCTTTCCAGAACTTGTACAGCGTCGTGTCTGGGAAAAAGAGGAGGTTCTGACTGACCAGCAGCTCTCTAACAAGAAGACCATCTCCTGTTTTGACCAGAAGGAACCAGAACCTCCTCTGATCAAAGAGGAACAGGAGGAACTCTGTATCTATCAGCGTGACGGGCCGTTCATTGAGAACCAATATCAGGATGGATGCATCAATGAAAACTCAAAATCAAACAGCAATGAAAAAGTGACACAAATTAGAAAATGTCCTCAAACCAAAGATTATAGAGACAGTGTAGCCAGTCAGAAACTAAAAAAGCACAAGAGGGCTTACAGAGATCATAGACCATTTTCATGTAAAGTCTGTTGGAAGTCTTTCAGTGGCAAGTGGGATTTAACTCGTCATATACGAACTCACACAGGTGAGAAACCGTTTGGATGTGAAACTTGTTGTAAATATTTCTCACAGAATAGTGACTTGACTAAACACATACGAACTCACACTGGTGAGAAACCATTTAGATGTGGAACTTGTTGTAAATACTTCTCACAGAAAACTCACTTGACTAAACACATTAGAATTCACACAGGTGAGAAACCATATCCATGTAAAACTTGTGGTAAATATTTTATTTCCAACAGTGACTTGACAAAACACATTAGAACTCACACAGGTGAGAAACCATACCCATGTAAAACTTGTGGTAAAAGTTTTAATCACAGTAGTCACTTGTCAAAACACATGAGAACTCACACAGGTGAGAAACCATTCAAATGCAAAACTTGTGGTAAATGTTTTTCCCATAATGGTACTTTGACTGATCACATGAGAACTCACACTGGTGAGAAACCATATCCATGCAAAATTTGTGGTAAATATTTTTCCCAGAGTGGTTCTTTGACTAAACACATGAGATCTCACACAGGTGAGAAACCATATTCATGTCAGGGTTTCTCCCAGGAAACTTGCTAGGCCTGGTGGTGGGAAAGCCCACTGTATTTATGTAAAAAGTCAGACATATTTAAGTTATAATTTAAATAAATAAAGTTTGTTTCACTTAAATTAAATCAAATTAATCCCAAAACTAGCCATACCTGGTCACATTTAAAAGTAATATAAATTAGCATAAACAATTAAATGCAAAGAAGGCCAGTAGGTAAAACAAGGGAATTGAAGATGTATGCTGTGCTCTACCTTTAGCTGCATATGGTACAGTGCCAGTCTCTGTCATCAGTTTTTTTTAAACATTTCCAGAGCCTTATTCAGATTCAGAATCAATTTTATTGCCATTGCCCCAGTGTCCTGGAGCGTAGGAATTTGTCTCTGCAGCACAGCCTGACCAAGGATGAACCTACAGACATGTAGAACAAAAAAGATACAGGCAGATCACAAGGGTAGCCATACACGCCACTTATATAATCCAGTTCAGCCACAGAGGCTCACAGGTAGCGGTTTTGGGCATTGAAATAATGAAAAATACACCTGACCTTTCAGCCTGTTTATGTATCGATCATAAGATTACGCTATTGCGCTCCCATATCACCAGATGAGGTAAAAGACGGACTTGCTGGTTAAGGATACCATTTTGATTTAACTAGGGCTACAGCTCCAGCTGTGAGTGTCCAGACCGTTGCTAGCTGCAGCCATCTACATAAACAGGATAGTGGGGATTTTTATTTTACTTGTGAAGTTTATTCAAGCTTAGTGTGAACACGTTTATAATTTTTTTTCTGGGCCCCACTTAAAGCAGAAGTTAAAGGGAGCCTCCTCCTACCCATTAGCGTTAGCTTACCTGGTTGTGGATTTTCTCCTGAGGCTGGCTGAAGACAGCGGGTGTTTCCTGTTAAAGTGCCTTTGGATTGAAGTTATGCTGGGAAAGACAACTTAATTGTGGTCTCAAATGGTCTCGATTGTTGCACCGTTTTCCCCGTTTATCATTTTCTCCATCTTCCTCCATGGTTCCATGATCACCAATGTTGTGCGCCAGTAAAATGGGTTCAAGTAAAGAGTTTGGCTGCAGTGTGCATATTTAACAAAGTTTCGTATCAGTAAAAAACGATTGAAGGAATTTTTTTAATCAAACTGCTTGAGTATTCGTTATAGCTTTAATTTAACCATTTTAAATGTTAATTTGGTGCATAAAAACGTTTTTAGTAAATGGGTGGTGCTTAGTGCTGTGGTAGCATTACTGTGACCAGCATTTAAATTATACTGACATTAAAGTGTGTGAAACATGTACAGTAGGGCATAAAAGTATTTAGTCACCCACCAATTGTGCATGTTCTCCCACTTAAAAAGAGAAGAGAGGCCTGTAATATTCATCATAGGTATACCTCAACTGTCAGAAGCAAAATGAGAAAAAACCTCCAGAAACAACATTGTCTGATTTTTAAAGATTTTATTTGTTATTTATGGTGAAAAATATGTACTTGGTCTCCTACAAATATTTCTTCATCATCATCTTTATTTCTAAAGCACTTTCCATCATCCAAGAGGCAAACCAAAGTGCTGCTCATGTACAAAAATTTTTAAACACATGGCCAACAATAAAATATACATAGTAAAAAAAAAACAAGTGTAAAGTGCTTTTTATGTGTGATCTGACAATTGATCAACCATTGCTTAAAAATTAAATACAGCTTAGCCAGTCAATTGCTGTGATCATAAAGCACGTAAACGGCAGCTGACTTGCTAACTCTAGAGTTAAGGGAGTTGCAATAATCGAGCCGAGAAGTAATGAAAGCATGGACTACAGTCTCTAGGTGGGCTTGCAACACTAGCGGCTTGATCCTGGAAAGGCAACGAAGATGGGAAAAGCAAGAGCGTATCACTCCATTGATGCGAGTCTTTGCTTTAGGGTGACTAGCTAGAGAGGTCAACTTCCTGCTTAGTGACACATCTAGCACTCAAACTAAAAACAGTTACTTCTGTTTTACCCTCATTAAATCCTAAGAAGTTAGAGGCCATCCATGCTCTAACTTCATCTAAGCAATCTAGGAATAGATTGACTTGGCCTGCGGAACTCTGTCTCAAGGGAACATAAATTAGGCAGTCATGGGCATACAGATGGATATAGAGCTCCGGACGTCACGTGACTCTCAGAGAGTAGACGCCATGTTGGCAGGCAACAAATTGAACGGGATCGGCTTGGATTTTACTTCGTCGGAGTTTACTTCACACTTAAAAACCGAAGAAATTGTTTTATAGTCAGAAATTAAATAGACTAGACATCTCCGACCCTTACCTGGCGGGGAACCCCTTGGGATTCCCTCGGAGGAGCTGGCCCAAGTGGCTGGGGATAGAGCCCTGCACGGGCCTAAAATCCGAGCCCGTGTCTGGCCCGGCCCGAGGGGGTGGAGCCTCAGCCCGACCCTGCCCGAAAAGGTTTTCAGGATTCTCTGGCCCGACCCGAGCCCGACTTTTTTTTAACCAACTTAATGAAAACAAAGTGCGTCAATCCTGACGTGCAGGATCCGATCAATTTGTTTTTCCCTTATTTACGTCACGGAGATAACGGCGCACTGGCTCTGGTGGTAATCAAGTAAAATTTTATCTCTTTCCAACAATTTTCACAAGAAAACAAAACAGTTAAAAGCAGGGCTTGTGTTGTGTTGACCGGACAGTTCCCGTATTTGACGGTTTATTTTGACGGAGAAAGAATAGAAAGAATTACCCCGACGCATGCAGACGAACTGACACTTTATTCGTTACGCACATCGCAGATGTAGCTAAAAGATTCCCATCTGAACATCTGAGCTGCTCAGCGCAGCTGGCTGTCAGCGCATATATGCACAGCGAGCTGAAGTTGTGGAGATTGGCTTGGAGTGCGTCGCAGAACCAGAGTGCATGCGGGAAGGTTCCTCCCACTGAAGCGAGTGTTTTCCAAACCCTGTCGCTCAGAGAGACTTGTCACTTAGAAAATGTTCCCTGATTATGAAACTTTGGCTGAATAGTGCTTGTTCCTGTCTCCAATGTGGCGACACATCCAGGAGGAGAATCCCAGAATCTCTTCAGCTCAGGAAGCGCCGATATGATTATGCACAAGCGTGACCCGTCAACCCGGTCTCACAGTCAGACCGGGTTGGACCTGTTCAGGTTTACGCAGACAATCTTTACATAGAATTGACTTACAGATATAAAATTAATTCAGTAAAATATAAAGCATTTTATTTAAATATCCATTCATTATTTTACAAGCACAGAGAGCCACATCAGATGCATCTGATGCGGCTCTCTCGTCCATCCATGGATGGAAGAGCCGCAGGTTGTGATGTTTTCTCCAGGACTAGAGAGGACGCAAACTTGATACTTCTCTTTTATTGTGAGTTAATAATTTCTCTGAGTTTTGCGGTTGCGGGCGGGAGTAGACATGCACGCTGCAGGTGCGGGCGGGAGTGTAGCACACACATTGCAGTTGCAGGCGGTAATGGTCAGAAATTCAGCGGGAGCGGGCAGGAGCGGGATGAAGAAAACAGTCCCACGCAGGGCTCTACTGCTGCATTTGTGTTTCAAATTTTATTTAATGAATTCGATTAAAAATAAAGGCGCCCGGCCCGGCCCGTGTCCGAGGTAATTACACAGTCGTTGGCCCGAAGCCCAGCCCGAGGGCCTAGGGCTTCAGTGCAGGGCTCTAGCTGGGGAGAGGGAAGTCTGGGCCTCTTGACGCTACTGCCCCCGTAACCCGACTCCGGATAAGCGGATGAAAATGGATGGACAAATAACAGATTTACATGTAAGTAGTTTAAATAGAGTGCTGTGCTGTTTGAATGTACAAACTGAACGCCAAGAGAAATCACTAGTTTGATTTTTTTTTTCCGTGAATAAAATAAATGTCAGGCAGGAACGTCTCAGGATCTGTCTGAGATCTGTTTTGGTGAGACAGATAATAGCAATCCAAAGTGCTTTTTATGTGTGATCTGACAATTGATCAACCATTGCTTAAAAATGAAATACAGCTTAGTCGGTTAATTGCTGTGATCATAAAACACGTAAACGGCCGCACGCAGAACTCACAAGGTCACGTTTTACGTGACGTTTACTTGTTGCTGTGAGTAATAAGACAGAAAAAGCCACGCCAAAATAAGTTTAGGAAGCCCACTAAAAATCGTAATAAAAGCATTTAAAATGAATACCACACACAGTTGAGGAAACGTTGGTTTAAGTACCTGATATGAAGTGGTCGCTGCATAAGCGAAAACCTTTACTCTCGGGATCCCACAGTTTCATTTTAGCCCGGTCACTAGCGCATTTTATTACAATGATCCAACGTTTTCGGCGCTCCGTATCTTGGGGAATCCTGTAGATGGCTCATTCCTTATGTCGTCCACGTCTGTTCTGCATCCTGGGGCACAACAGGAATCTACCATATTTCCCGTTTGACTGAGTTTTCTGACAATAACAAATAGTCCAGCTGCCGGCTTCTGCCTGCCAATATGGCGCCGTTTCGATTTGAACTGTTGCATGCCGGGAGAAGTGACGTCAACTCCCGGAGCTCTATAGACCTAGTGCTTCCAAAAAAATTAACCAAGGGGCAGCAGATAAAGAGAAAGAACAACAATGGGCCCAGAACAAAACCCCCCAGGAGAGGCTGGCACAGGTTGAAGAACAGTTGTTGCCAAGCTTCATGCAGACGCTTCTCTCTGAGAGATATGACATAACCCACTCCAGGGCACATCCAGTAATCCCCGCCCACAGCTCAAGCCAAGATGACAGGATATTGTGGTCCACAGTGTCAAAAGCTGGTGAGAGATAAACAACAAAAGAATTGCAGTGTCCCCTGAGTCATTGGCTAAGAAAACATCATTAAAAACCTTTAAAAGAGCAGATTCAGGGCTGCGTCCAGCTTTAAAACCAGACCCGGTATCAAACACTGACAACACAGAGTCAAGAGTATTGAACAGAATGCGATATTGGTGAGGAAGCTACACTTTGCTAACTTTACTCCTTGGTAGTCAGACCAGCTTTGTTTCAGTATTTCCAGAGACACCTGTAGCCTGTCCTTCCTCCATTTTTGCTCTACCCTCATGCACTCATGCCTGAGAGCCCTTGTCTCAGAATTTAGTCAAGGCTCACTCCTGCGCTTGCGCGGTTTAAGGCGAGCAGATGCAACTATGTCCAAAGAAGTCCTGCATATTTCATCGAACACAGTTCAATACATTTCTGGCTGTCACAGACCTGTACCATCTTCTGTAAGAGGCTCCTCTATCCTCCACCTGATACCTGTATTATTGGCACCTGTTGGAACTCGTTATTGGTATAAAAGACACCTATCTTCAACCTCAAACATCCACATTCCAAATTCCACTATGGCCAAGACCAAAGAGCTGTCAAAAGACACCAGAAACAACATTGTAGACCTGCACCAGGCTGGGAAGGGTGAATCTGCAATAGGTAAGAGCTTGGTGTGAAGAAATCAACTTAGGAAGCAATTATTAGAAAGTAAAAGACATAAAAGAGCAGTGATATTCTCCCTCAGTCAGGGGCTCCATGCGAGATGTCACCCTGTGGGGTCAAAATGATCACAAGAACAGCGAGCAAAAATTCCAGAACTACATAGGGGACCTAGTCAATGATCTTCAGAGAACTGGGACCGAGGTTACAAAGGCTATCATCAGTAACTCACTATGCCACCAGGGACTCAAATCCTGCAGTGCCAGATGTGTTCCCATGCCATGTTTAAAGAGACAGTCAGCAGATTTTACCCATTTTCTCTGAAAATGTTCATCAAAACGTTGAAACTGAATAAAATGATGTCCAGTTGTTGAAAAATATTGGCAACTTCTTGCCATACAACCATAAAAATTGGGTCTAAAGTACTTAAGATGTGGGTCTGGCCTCTTTAGAGGACTACATGTTTCCTTCTGGTGTAGTGACATGAATGGCCTCATTTGTGACCCAAAGGTCACACTTCCTCTGCTGGGTCAAGCTGTCCTGGCTGTACTTCTATTTACAGATTATCCGTTACAGGAGACACGAAGTCTGCTGTAAACCATCTTTAATCTGAACTGCATTTATCTGACTGCTGTTCCATCCGCAAGACGAAGGACACTTCAAGATTTAAAAGAATCATTTTTAATAAACTCTTTTCACTGTCTATTACAATGTCCATAAATAATCATCAAGGTTCATTAAAAATGTATTTAATTACTGAAATGAATTATTATTCTTTGGTTAATAATTATTATTTATGATAATCAGTAATGTTTAACACTGACAAGAAGATCATGTGCACTTATACACACCATGCAGGACTCAGAAATCAGGTAAAAGATAACTGCATTCACATGTCTTTGTTACATGACACCAGAGCTTTCTATCTCTGGGAAGGCGTGTTCTGAGGTATGTTAAAACCTAAACTCCTCAGTTCAAGTTCAGTTCTTGAGCTCACCAAAAATCTCTCTGTGGCGACGAGAGTCCAGAGTATCGGGTCGGCCGCTCGAAATCTCTACTAAAGCTTTTCTGTCACGCCGATAGGATTGCTTCAACAGAAACGCCATCTGCAACAAACTGACGCAAAACTCCTTCAGAGCTAATTTTAAGATGCAAATTCCACACCTGTGTGCCTGCGGCAACTCTAGGACCAGAGAGTCGGTACCACTGGTCTCCCCTACCAGACCGAGTACCCTGAGGCTGATCAGCATCCTCCCTTGACCTCCGGATCCAAACAGAGGGTCGTCTGAACGGTGAGGTAGAGCACAAGATTGCGTCTGAATGCCTGTTCTTTTAAGAAATAACTGTAGTTTAGCTGCAAACCAAATTCTTTCACCCAGAATGCGTTTTTCTCTCTCTAAGATAAAAACCTTCTGAGACCTACATTCACACATCCAAACACACACACTTCATAAACACACACACTTCATTTTTAGTTTCATCCAGAAACAAGTTGCTTTAATACCAAAGCTTTTATAAATTGTCATTTATGAATTGTCTTTTAAATTGTCATCTTTAAATCGTTAGTAATACATTTTTAACTTTTTAAACCTGACTCTTCTTTGAAATGAAACACAGAGTGGTGCATATTTGGTCACTGAACGAGCAAAGATCTCTTTAAATCTTCTGAATTAATAAATAAACTTTTGCTTTTAATTTAAATCTCTTAAATTAAATATTAATCTTTGGATATAATATAGACCAAGCCAGTTGATTCATTCTATCGATTATATAAATATCCATGGATGTATATATATAATATAAGTTTCATTGCCAATTCGTTTGATCGTTCTCAGGATTTAGCAAAGCTGAATAGCAACAGCGTTAAATTCTAGTTATGTAGATTAACAACGCTACACTGGCCAGCTTGGTGTCCTGCACCTGATGATGACGTCACACCAGATCACTGGCTGAACATACAACTTTTGGAAGTAACGTTGCCTCATTCAAAAACATTTAGGCAGTAAGAAACACAAATATAATAACAAAACTACTAAACTTTTTCCAAAACATACATTAAAAACAGATTTGAAAGAGATGCAAAATGTTTTGGCCAAGCAGGATTGCCGTAGTATGATAACGTCATCGGCAGGCGCAAGCCTCCCAGCAGATCCAGGAAGGACAGCGCCTGAAAACTACAATTGGCATTGCATTCTCTTAACTGAAACACATCCTCACATGCCTGTGGATATCATATATTGCAGGGGTGTCAAACTCAAACTCACACGGGGCCGAAATGAAACTCTGGGACGGAGTCGAGGGCCAAACTTAATATTTTTTGAAAAAGTGACGGCAAATTTGCACATTTTCTTTATCAACATATATGCAATTTTGAACCTTTAAATTTGGAAACAAACTTATTTCTGCATTAACACTGAATGTGGAATAACCAAATTACACACGAGCATGTCAGTTTTAAATAAAACACATCAGTGGTATTCATTACTTGTGGTATAATCAGCATTTTTAAAATCTATTCAGGATTTATGTTTTCTTGTTTATTCATTTTTCTTATTTTTTATTCTCCTTTTTTCTCCTGTAATAAGTGTCATCGCTGCTGTGACATCTAGCTTTCCCCACTGAGGAACAATAAAGGGATTTTCTATTCTATTCATCTATCTGCAGCCTTTCCACTTCCTGTTTACTGTAGGTTAAATCTTTGCTCACGTGCCAACAACAAAATAAAAATATCATTTTATCTTAAATGAAAATGCAACATCTCACCTCTTAACTTTCATGTTTTGGAGCAGAAAAAGAGCATAAAACCAACACATTTAAAGCTCAGTTTGCTCCACTGGTTTACTGTGATGCTCACCTGTTCCAGCCAGATACCTGCATCATGGGGCTGATCTGAGCTGAGGAGGAGACTGCTGTTGTTTTGTTCATCTTCATCATAATAATGACAACATTAGATGACAACAGGTGCTCACATAGGTTTGTGCTGCTGAACATGTCTGAGCAGCTTGACCACGTTGTTGTGTGTCGGGGAGGAAACACAACCACAGAGCCGTGCTGGTTTGAGCGTGTCGCTGCTCGCTGGAGTTATATCAGCTCTGTCTGGACGTTAGTTGGAAAACTTTCTCTTTCAGTCGTGAACACATTACTGAGCGGCTAGAATCTCCGTTTCTGGGCTTCAACATCAGAAAATAGCTGAGTGAACTCGGCGCTGAGTGAGAGGAGTGTTTCGTTTGTCCGAGACAGCGGAGCTGCAGACACCGGCAGCAGGCGCTGGAAAAAAACACAAAGGAGGGGGCGCGTCGGCTCCGCGCGGACGCCGCAAAGCATCATGGGAGTTGAAGTATTTGCGGTAAAATCAGCCAGCGGGCCAGTTTTAATATATTTTTGATATTTATCTCGTGGGCCACATAAAAATGCTCCGCGGGCCGCATCTGGCCCGCAGGCCTTGTGTCTGACATATGTGATATACTGTATATGAAGATATGACCGTAATAATAAGTAAAGGTTATCAGCTGTAGGTTTAGTGTGCTCATAGGAAACGTGACAAAAGAACACAAAACACATTTCTCTTCATGGCAGATTTTGGAGCAAGGCGCTGCAGTTGCTCTCCACTGGCTGCAAAACCTAGTGGATGACGGGAAACGCCTGGCTCTCACCTGATCTAAGATCTGATTGGTTCACATTTTGATCCAAACATCCGGTGGTAGAACATGAAATGTTAGTTGGTCACATGCATTCTGTAAATCATGTTATGTTGATGATGACAACAATATAGGCCATAAAGAGAAATGTTCTTTTGTTACGTTTCCTATGAGCACACTAAACCTACAGCTGATAACCTTTACTTATTATTACAGTCGTGTCTTCATATACAATATATGATATCTACAAGCACGTGAGGATGTGTTTCAGCTGCTAACAGGCACCAGAATTAAAATTGAAAATTAAACGAGTGTGAACGCTAACGCGATATCTTCATCCATAGTCACCCGCGAGCTACACACATGCAGGAAATTGTGTCCAACTTAAATGCCGGCTTTCAGCCACTCCCCCTGCTGCTTCCATCTGCCCTCGTCTGTTTTCCAGGCGAGGCGCAGCTCAACTCGAACACGGCCATTTTTTATAGCTTTTGGGTTAGTGGAGTTCTTAATTGAGTTAAGATACTGTACAAGTTCAAAGGAGAATACATAAAAAGAGGGATGTCTTCCTAAACATTTGGACTTGTGAATATGAAATTTAGCCATTAAAATCAACAGGTTAATCATATATCTGTTATCAGAGTTACTCTCGTCTGTTCTCCAGGCGAGGCGCAGCTCAACTCAAACACGGAGAGGCGGGAAGATGGCGGCGAGGGGGTAACATTCTAGAGCATCTCCTGTTTGAAATTAGACTCCAACCGTTATAAACTTTTTAAAACCCCGAAACCACGAAAAAACGCCTCAGAAAGACATTATCTAAAGAACTGACATATTTTTAAGACGGTGGCAGATGGATAAACTTTGAAAGAAATAAGGAACTGCAACGGAAAACTACTCGGTGAGTTGTAAGCGAGCAGAATGCACCAAGCTAAACCAACAAAGGAGAAAATGAGTCACCAACTTAAAAAACGGAATTAAAGAGAAAAGACTCAACTCCAACTAAAATGAACTCTGTGTGCATTGCTTAGCGACCATAATTACGAGGCTTCACAGGAGGAAGAGATGGAATCCACCAACCTCCATGACTCTCCATTGAGTAGCCCAGCTCCCAAGAAGCTTAACAGCGGACAACCGGAACCATCCATGTATGAGCTACAGATGACAATTTTAAAAGCTGTAAACGAAAGAGCCGACGAGCTGGCACATCTGATAAGCAGCACCGCAGCAGATATCAAGGAACTGAAAGTTTCTCTCGAGTTCGCACACGAAGAGATAAATGATATAAAATCAGAAAATGCAGCCCTAAAGAAGCAGTGTGAAAAACACCAGATGGAGATAATGTCACTGAAGGAGCGGGTGACTGATGCTGAACGCTACAAGCGACCTGAACAGGAAAACGAGGTCATCAAACAAAGAGTGGCGGACATCTGTCAGAAGATTTCGCCAGAAATGGGAGCCAAAGCAGCGGAGGGAATCGACATCGCACACAGGCTGGGGAAACGAGCGGACGGCAAGAACCGCAGTATCATCATCCTGTTCGCCTTTCGCTCCGTGAGGGATGAGGTCTGGAGAGCTGCAAAAAACAACGCTACGGTTTGGAGAAGACTTGACTAAAGAAGACAAAGAGAAGAGAGCTGCGCTGTGGCCCCTCATCGAAAGAGCGCACAAGGATGGGAGCAAAGCTTACTTTGTGGGAGTCAAAGGTTACATAAATGGTAAGGAAATCCACCAGGTATCTGAAAACTGAACTAAATCATTAAAAAAACTGCGTATGGACTGGTCTTGGTTATCTGTATTTCACATCCTTCTTACACTGACTGTTGAGAGATATCTGGGTTAAGT